TTGTACAATTTGTACTTCGAAGTAGTTCCCGAACTTACTTTCAACTCGCATCGTTCTTCATTTGCTTGATGATTTGGACAGTCAGAGTCACCGCTTGAAGTTATTCTCTTCTCGTTCCAGAGCTACACAATGTTTCAAAGTATTAGCCAGTGATCCCTTTATACAACATGTATGGCATAACACTGCGTAATAATGCCGATGTACTGGGTGTCTAAAGGCAGTACAGTGTATTTACATGTACTAAAAAATATATTAAAAAAAAAATCCGCCCGCCCGCCCGTAAAAAAAATGTCCATGTTAGTCGAACCACACACCTTCTTTAGTTTGGCCTTATGGTGCAAATCAAAACACATGCGGAATAGTATGGCTGGGGTGTGTCCGCAGCGCTGCAACCGTAGTGATAGTGTTCATCCATGGGGAAATGTAGCAAACGCCTCAACCATTCCAAATTCATCCATAAAAGGCATTTCTGAACGCATTTTGTCCATAATATGAATGTTTTGTCCTCGTTTTCTTCAGAATATTTGAATTATATGCTGGCTTCATTCCAATATTCCCTTTGTCGCTCCATATGCCATAATGAACTGTCTCACAAAAATATTCGGAAATATGCGCAAGCATATTTGGTCGAGGCCTATGTACTCCGCTCTCAACAGCAAGGACGCTGAAGGATGAGTCACCCTAACATCAAAGAATGCGTCTTGCTGCCGAGACCAGACTGCCCCTTGCACAGATATCCAGACGAGCCTCCGGACGCCGGTTAGTCGTGGCACCAGGGAGCGCTTCACGCTCGAGTGGGAGCAGCGGAGGCTCAATCCGCACATCGGGGATGGCTGCATCCATGGCCTCGGCAATCAGGTCACGCAGAGCATTGTGCGGTAGAGTGGGGTACCCCCCAGTAGGGCACGTTGCCGGATGATCGACGCTGAAGTCCGCACCACACACGCACGAGCTTGGAATGTCCCGCAAGGGCCAGCCATATCGTAATGACAACGCGTCAACAAACTCCACCTTGTTATTTAGGAGGCTCCGAACAGTTGCGCAGCGCAGTGTAAAAAGGGCACCTCCGAAATCTGTTTTTTTGCCGCGAGATTCGAAAAATGTTGTGTTCCATGCGGAAACAAGCTGTTGTTCAGAAAGAAGTTTTTTGATTTCTCCGTGCTCGCAGTTGTTCCAGGATGTACATGTAGTTCTACTCGTTGCAGTGTTTCTGTAGCCGTGGCTGTTTCTACGCTGGAAAGAATCACTGGCCATGGCTAATGCAAAACAAAGGCAGTTCCTACGCTGCTTGATTTTTTTGTGAAAACTTTGTTGAAGCGGTACGATGTGGCCACGAAGAACAAATAATTATATTACTGACGAAGAAGGGTGAGAAAAGCAGGCTGAAGTCAATGAAGACATCGATGTCGAACGTAGTGATACTACTAGTACTGGTACTGGAATTTAGCATGGACTACCTGTGGAGCTTGAAGTGGCTGCCCACTCGCTAGTAAGTGGACCCACTTGCAGCTCCAGTCGCACGGTACTTTCTGTGGATCCTAGAGTATCCTGAGCTCAGTGGACGACGCATCTCAGAGCTGCTGAACTTGGGCTACTGTCCCTGTAAGGCTGTAGGAATGATGTTCGTGTCACTGTACTGCACTGATGGTGTAAGGAAAACGCTGGCCAGAAGCTTGTGTTCTGAACCAGGGACGAACTTCTAAATCCTGCTTTTGTAAAAATAGGGATGCCACAACTAAGATGTGCACACTCAGGTGTGTATTGGGTAAATGCCTGTGGTTGATTATTTTGAATCCTTTCCTATGCGCAAGTACATGCGTTTGTGTGTGTGTGTGTACGCGCGCGCGCGCGCGCGTGTGTGTGTGTGTGTACGCGCGCGCGCGCGCGTGTGTGTGTGTGTGTACGTGCACGCGCGAGTGTGTGTGTGTGTGTACGCGCGCGCATGCGCGCGCGCGTGTGTGTGTGCAAGCTGTTGAAAGGTGTACTAGTAATCCGAGCACAAGTTGCTATGTGTAACGTAGTTTGTTCGCTATCCTCGCTTCAGCGTTGGGCAGGTGTATGAGTGTGTGTGTGTACGCACGTGTGTGTCTGTACGCACGTGTGTGTGTGGGCGCGTGCTCGTGCCCGCATGTGTGGGTTCGCACGCAATGTTGATCTGGGTTATGCACATGTCCCCACGAGTGCACTGTGTGCATGTGCATGCAAATGTCTGTGTACATGTATGTGTGTATGCACGTGCATGTGTGCGCGCGTGTGCAAAGCTAGGTGTGGAAGGGGGGGGGGGGGGGAGGGGCTCACGGTGCTGGTTCTGTATGCCTCTCCTCTCTGGTGTCCGCAAGGACAGTGTGGTAATGGCTTTACAGTACAGGAGTTGCATGTGAATGCGCATTTGTGAATGGTATTTGAGACACAAAAAGAATTGCCGAGAGAGCATGACAGTACACTACATGTATATCGTATGTGTGCACGCCAGCGTGTGTAGATGCATATTGCCCTTCATGCGATGTTTTTCTGGAGTCTGCTGCTATCAACGCAAGTGACAACCAGCAAATGCATGCCCAGTGCAGTGGCTGGTTTTCATGCTTTTATTTACACTAAGTCCTACTATGGACTAGTACTAGTAGTGTTGGCACGCTAGTAACTCACACAGCTGCAGCGTGAATCACTTTCAATGTATTGGTCACGCGTGTTACACCGCACCCGTACCCCGCACTTGCAACTCTGTACCGACTGTCCGTGCTTGCAGATCCATGACATGGATAGCAATTAGTCTCACTGCGTTCAATGTACATGTACATGTAACTATTGACCTTAGAAATACTGCTGCACTTTCAACCGCCTCTTTTACGCTCATTGCCCACACTGCTATTCAGCTCCTTCTTCTGCATAGAATCAAATGGCATTCCTTGTGCAATGACTGTGGCCCACACATCTTACTTTGACCTTTCTGTTTCTGCTCTACGTATCCCCTGGTCATAGGCTGGCTTACTTACACTAATAGTTCTTCACCCTATAAAAGCTGCTGTTCACAATTCTCTTCATGTCAGTTTGGAGTTAGAGTCAGAGTTAATGTTTACAATGTAGTCTTCCGTTTAGTTCAGTAATAATTTTAAAGCAGTGTGTTCACTGAGACCCGTGTGCATTTGCCTCAGAAAGAAAGACTGCGGCCCGCTACACAATGATGCGTGCACGAGAGTGCGTGCGTGTGGGTGGGTGTTTATGTGCGTGTGCACGCACGCGTGTGAGTGTTTAGTGTGCCTTATTTTGAATGCCTGCTTTCACATTATTCATGTGCCAGTTTCATGGTCGAGGTTGTTATGAAACCTCGCTGCCCTACATGTACATGTACACTACTCGTATATCAATGTGCTAGGACTGAAGGCTGCATGACATACATGTACATGTAATGATACATGTACCTTTCCAAGCACAGACTGTCTGGTATGTCCAAAGGAGGTTGCAGCATGAAAAAAACTTCTTCTAAAATAATAATTTTTACCATGCTACCATGTCATTGGTAGTGATATTTAGTCAAGAAGGCAAGAATGGTCAGATTTTCTAAAAATGTTTTTTTTCAGAATTGGCCTAAAAATACATATTTTGATACCTACATTGTTTGATAGGGGCCTAAAGTGCCTGGTGACACCATCAAAACTGTCCATTATCGGTTTCCTTGGGTCTCAAGGATCACAGAAAGCCATAAAAATCAATATGTCCATGGACAAAATGTTGCAGGCTGAACCATTTCACAATTCAGCACCCGATGGAAATTTCGGTACCCGTAATTTCGAAAAAGTGGCTCGCCAAGGGCAAAACCACGACACAGTCTATTTTGTGTAGCCAAGATACCTCCAAATGTGGTTCTTTAACATAATATGATGAAGAAAATGCTTAGTATCCTCCCTCCAGGAGGCTTCTTTGGGTCAAAAACCAAAAAATTACCATTTTTTGCCGAAAATCAAGAAATTGTACACTCACTAAATACACCAGAATACCTCTTATATGCCTGGTGACCCTACCTAAAAACTATACCAAATTGAAGAAGAGAAATCACTCCACCATTCTATGCATGAAAAACAGGGTGTCCATGGACCTTTTATTTTTACTTCTTTAGGTGGGAGCCTCCTTAAGAATGAAGCCACTCTCTGCCAGGGGCTCAGCAGTCAGCCAGCTTGAAACCTCAGGGTCAGCAGCACATTCCATCAGCAACCTCTGCTGATTGCACAGCCCCAGGGACATGTCCGCCTGCAACTGACGATAATTATGCCGACGCACGCAACTTCTGCTCACCCCTGCGGAGAGCCCCTGCCTGAGCAATAACGACGGCCGGTGGAGCAGCATCAGATTTGCACTCTATCATGTCCACAATGGGCCGCGTCACCCTCAGACTCACTCTTCGCTGTTCACTGGCGTCCTGGGCAATACTCGGGAGGGCGAGGCCACCGAACCTGACAGGCAGTGCCAACAGTTTGCGTTCAGTATCCGACTGGCTGGGACGACCAGTGAGGGCCGGAATCAGGTCTCTTCCAATGACCAGATGACACTATCCAGTTCATCGAAACCCGCAGATTCTGGGTCTTTGTGAGATCGCAGATGATAGTGCCAGTGATGTGCCAGCTAGCTGCATGCAGTCTGAACTATTACCGGTACTTGAAGTGCTTGCTGCACGTGCCTGCAACGGTGTGCGAGGGCTAGGGGAATCCCGCACCAGGTGCTTCCCCGGACACAACTGCTAAACGAGGGGAAATCCCTCATCGGGACATCGCATCTCGGCGGCTAGCCGCCGTAGTCATGGTAGTAGTAGTAGTACCCGGCTGGTCCGCGAGTTAGCCGTACTGACTACTGACTGTGACCTTGGTCCAGTAGTTGGTGACTGTACTGCACTTCTGCAGGGCGATATCGATAGATAATTCTGTACGCACCGGTAAGCGCGAAGCGTGCACCACGCCATTACAATCATGTGCATGAAATTGTGTGGCCTTCCTGGCCTACCTAGGCCGGCCCGCGCCCATCTTTCGTTCGCTGCGATCGAGCATGCTGCTATGCATGCATGCTCTGTGTCAATATAACACCTCGCACATGCTTGCAGCGTCGGTTTCTACCCGATCAGACCTTGTGAACGGATGAAGATCGTGTGCTAGTATCGGCAGCGCTTGCTGGGCATTGCCAAAAACCTAGATTCTGATTTCGTGCAGAAGCCTCTGATTCGTAGTGTGGTAGATCGACCACTACCACTGAGTCTGTGCCAGCCTCAAAGTAACCGTTGCTTACCTGCTCAAGACGCAGCGGTAGAGTGCAGGTGAGGTATTCTAGCCATGCATGTATCATTGTACTTGATGCAGTAATGCTAATGTGAAAGACACTCTCCGACGCCGAACTAATACTTCCCCCTCTTACAATGATGTGCTACAGACAGTACGGATTCCTACATGACAGGACGATTTAATGATTTTTAGTATTTTTTACTGTCTCTTTTTGTCTTCCAGCTTGCTCTCGAGTCTCATGCTCATATGTCATAGCTCACTCAGTCCAGGTCTTTCACTTTCAGCGCTAGCGTAGATCGCGGAGCGTCACACTCAGGTGGTGTTTGCGACGGACTCGTGCTGCTGCATACTGTGGCCAGCGTAACCAGTGTAGGCTGTAGTACAGAGTGCCGTGATCGTGAGCTCATAATAATTATTATTATCAGCCGCTTCGTTCCTCACTGAGACTTGTTGTCAAGGTTTTCATCGAGCGAAGCAGGGCGCACGTCGGCAGATACCCGCTCGGCGCTGGTCTGACCTACCCGCACCGGTCGCTTTGTCGTGCCACGAGCACAACTGAGCAGCGAAGAGAATGGCGGGGCGGCCATTCCTCGACCCGCGCCCACCCGAGGGGGGCACAAATTCTGTAAGTACTGAGATCTGGATAATAAATTATTATTAATTTAAAAATAATTTTATATTCATACAGAGGTAGTACTAGGTGGGAACTGAAATCCGATTACTAGTAACGTGTTCGAGTGCAGTACCGATGCAACATCCAGCTGGGGTCAGACCACCCCATGCTGCAGCCAGTGCAGGATAGCTGGGTGCTTGGCTGTGCTACAGGGAACCCAAAGTCCATGCAGACGTTCTCACTGCTGCAAGGTTGGCCGGCCACGAGTTCTCAGGTAACTCCAGCGGAGTCTCGCACAAACCGTGATTGTTTTTAAGGTGACCAGACGCTTGGATGTGCTTCATGAAGCCCAGGGTCCATGCAGGGACTCTCACTGCTGCGAGGGTGACAGGGCGATTGGCTCTGCTTCATGAAGACCAGAGTCAATGCAGGGGCTTTAACGGCTGCGAGGGAGACAGGGTGCTTGGCTGTGCTTCATGAAGCCCAGGGTCCATGCAGGGGTTTTCACGGCGGCGAGCTCAGCAACCGGTGTACGGCACTATGTACACTGCTAATCCACACGTGCCAGCAGACTTGTAGCCCGCTTCACATTCAAGATGGACGGCTGGAAACGTCTGTGCATACGTAGAGTACCGGCCGGTGTAGATTTCCATTGCTCCAACCGTAGAGTATAGAATGTGCACCTGCTGCATATTGCCATTTGAACACTCGATTGTACTGTTGTTTCTCCAGAAAATAAGCCGCACTGGAGTATAAGTCACAACCAGATTTTTTGGCACGAAATACAGACATTTACTCCATTTATCACTGTTAATTTTACCATCATAGTTTAATGGTGGTGTTTAAACTAGGGCTGAGTCGGGTAGCATTTTCTTCGGGTATCGGGTTCAGGTCGGTTTCCACGGGTAGCACGGGTACCCGATAGGGTAATGTTGCCATGGTAACACCACCGTGCACCTCTTTCCTTACACACTTGGTAGACATGCGGAGTGTTACATGAATTTGTACACATGCACTCACGGTACATGATGTCATCTGCGACTTCGGGTTTTCGGGTACTATTCTGTACCCGTCTACCCGAGGTCCTCACGGATAGCACGGGATACCCGACTACCCGTGCACACCGCTAGTTTAAAGTGCTTTTTATACTCCACATAATACGTAGACAATCATAGAGTTCTGGCAGGACTTTATGGCTGAATCAAGGCCGAGTGCATACGGCCAAGGGCGCAGGCCAAGGCGCGTAGCGCCGAGGCCTGCGCCCGCGGCCGTGCGCACGAGGCCTTGATGAAGGCGGAAAGTCCTGCCAGAACTCTATGATCGTGTTTCAGGTTTCCACTTACATCCTTTGAGCCACGTAGACTAGTATAAGCGCGATACCACATGGCCGGGTGGAGGTTGGGGACGTGGTGGCTAGACCTGTTGCCTTTTTTCTTTGCTCAATGCTCAAGAACAAGTAGGTTGGTCGGGGACGTGGTGGCTACACTATCACTCCTTTGCTGACACGCGATGATCTTATCAATTTTCGCTTACATCAGTACATGAAGGCCTCGTGCGTAGATCTACTGTGCTACGCGCCTTGGCCAGCGCCCGGGCCTTGGGCCTGCCTGGCCGTAGATCTACGCTCATCGGAGTCATGGTCATGTTTTCACTGGCATTCTTTGAAACTGTATATAAGCGCGATACCACCTAGGGGTGGAGGTCGGGGACGTGGTGGCTGGATCTATCGCTTTTTAGAAGAAGTAGTTGCAGAATTGCCAAAGCTCATGCGTACGGCCTGCGCCCTTGGCCTTGATTCATGGTCAGGTTTCACTTGCGAACTGTATATAAGCACGACACCACCTAGGGGTGGATGTCGGGGACGTGGTGGACGGATCTCTTGCCATTTTTCCAATTATTTACTCCTCAGGTTAAGTCATCCTTTGATGCTCGTACTCGTAGACTGTATATAAGCGCGATACCACCTAGGGGTGGAGGTCGGGGACGTGGTGGACAGAACTCTTGCCATTTTTCCCTTGGCCTTGAAGAAGAAGAACGTTTTGAATTGTTTTCAGGTTGTAGCTGTTTAGTTTTGTCACTCCTTTACTGACACGCGTACAAACCTGTTGTCAACATCGCTCAACATCGCCATTAGCTTGTAGAATACAAGCTAATCGCTTTTTAGAAGAAGTAGTTGCAGAATTGCCAAAGCTCATGCGTACGGCCTGCGCCCTTGGCCTTGATTCATGGTCAGGTTTCACTTGCGAACTGTATATAAGCACGACACCACCTAGGGGTGGATGTCGGGGACGTGGTGGACGGATCTCTTGCCATTTTTCCAATTATTTACTCCTCAGGTTAAGTCATCCTTTGATGCTCGTACTCGTAGACTGTATATAAGCGCGATACCACCTAGGGGTGGAGGTCGGGGACGTGGTGGACAGAACTCTTGCCATTTTTCCCTTGGCCTTGAAGAAGAAGAACGTTTTGAATTGTTTTCAGGTTGTAGCTGTTTAGTTTTGTCACTCCTTTACTGACACGCGTACAAACCTGTTGTCAACATCGCTCAACATCGCCATTAGCTTGTAGAATACTGGATTGCTTACTACATGTAGCCACCTTTGCTACCTTACATCATAGTACTTGTATGTTTATTACATCAATGAACAGAACTGAGCATGAGGTCATGGCTACAGGCATGCCCAATCTACATGATTGTAGACCTGGTTTCAACCATGTACTTACTCTACTCTCCTCTAAAGCCAAGGACGGCAACGGGCAAGGTCCAGAGATGAACTGAGATGGCAACGGAAAACTGACGCAGACCCCTGCACTGTATAGCTAGGCTGACAGCGTGCGGGCCTTTATCGGCTCATCAAGGCCACCGCGGGAACGTCGCTCATTGGCTACAACCATGGAAACGGCACTGTAAAAACCTGAAGGTACTATAAAACATTTAATTTAAGGTGCATTAAAAATTCGGTGCCAGGGACCTGACAGGTTTCAGGTGTAATTAGGTGACCAGCGTTCCCTTCATATGCAGTGCATACTCTAGTGCCTTTTAGGTGTAATCTAAATTTATGTGCCTGGTGTCTCCACTGAAATCACCGAAATTACGGAGGATTAGCAAGACGAAATTCGCGTTCGCAAACATTTTTCAGTTCGCGAACTGGATTGCGAACTTTCGCATTTTTCGTTTGGAAAAGTAGTCGGAACACGAATCGCGGATTCGTGTCAGGGCAGTCATAAATTTACCACGCTGTACTGTCTGTACACAATGTACGTCGTGTCAACGACATGATGCATGTGCGAATTCTAGGCTATACCAGTACTGTCAGTCTATAGTGGTGTGCACACTGCAGTCTGTTGTCTATAGTGGTGTGCACACTGCAGTCTGTTGTCTATAGTGGTGTGCACACTGCAGTCTGTTGTCTGTAGTGTAGGATCAGACTACATCGTACTAGTAAGTTTTCATCGGTGACCTGTGCAATGTAGGCTACTGACACTGTAGCACTATCCTGGACCATGTGTGTGTAGTAACCAGAGTGTCTAGATTCTTGAGCCTGTTTCGGAATTATAGAAGCCTGGTTTTGAATAGAAGCCTGATTTTTCAAGATACACGGTCGGCACACAAGCCTGCTTTTAGCGCTGACACCGTGACATAGAAATACCTGGTTTGAATAGAAACCTGATGTGAATATAAGCCTAGCCATGACATCGGCTTCTACAGGAATAAGCCAAGCTTAACTTTTAGTGCGCGATATCACCTGTTGTCCACCATTACGGTCTGCCTGGATATTGTGAACAGACCATTACCTGTCAGCTCAGCTCAGGTGCATCATGACGTGCACGGTCATTGTCTTCACAATCTGTGGCCACTGCATGTGCATACCTGATCTCTTGGTGTGTGTGTGTGTGTACATGGTGTGTGTGTACATGGTGTGTGTGTGTGCACATTGTGTGTGTGTGTGTGTGTGTGTGTGTGTGTGTGTGTGTGTGTGTGTGTGTGTGTGTGTACATGGTGTGTGTGTGTGTGTGTACAGTGTGTATATGTGTGTGTACATGGTGTGTGTTTGTGTGTGTGTGTGTGTGTGTGTGTGTGTGTGTGTGTGTGTGTGTGTGTGTGTGTGTGTGTGTGTGTGTGTGTGTGTGTGTGTGTGCATGGTGTGTGCTTGAGAGTAGCTATAGCACTGCAGCCACTGACTCTTGAGCTGAGCTCTCAGCTCTGAGCCCATTCTTTTCTACTCACTTTGAAGGTCATTAGAGGTGACAGCTGGTCATCATCATACCGCCCCAGGGCACACTGTTTGGCTAGCCTTCAACAGTTGTCCTTGACAGCATGCTCAGAATACTTCAGCTGGCGCCTCTCCTGCTGGGGCACCTGGGCCGAAAATAAGAACTCATGCAACCACCACTGAGCCCCCTCACTGTGACCACACGCTGTTGAAAGAGAATGGCACTCAAAGGGACATCCCCCAGCGCACGACTGCTGGGGACTGTCCCTTCGGCCTTCAGCAAGCTACATGTGGATAATCATTGAACTAGTCACTGAACTAGTAATACCCACTTATAGTACAAGTACATGTACATGTACAATTAGTCATGTATTATAAACTGAACGTAGTAAGACTTAGTAACACTTGAAGTAACGTGTTGAACATTGCCATTGGGAGAAATCTCTGTACCTGAGGCTGACTTTGATCACTTACTAACGCTGCCTTCATAACACGGTCACCCCCGTGCCACCAGCATAGTACTATGTTGATCACTTACACTGCCCTAGCGCTGAAACACTAGCATTGCGTACCTGCCATGGGATAACACCTATAGTGAATAAGACCACACAACCCGGAGTATCCCCAGTCTCCTCCTGATGATTACCTTTCAGCATGAAACTCGTGAGTAGAGACATTTACCAGTAAATCACTTTTTGTTCCACCGGGTTTTTTGTTTGTACTGATTTTGTGTAGTCATTCCCCTGTGCACTGACCGTGCATGCTGTAGCTAGGCATAATCATAATCGCCACAGGCCTGATCTACATCACATGTGCGACTTTAAATTTTTAATTCAACGACAACTACTAATACTATACATCGATCATGTAAATCAAATCAAATTGGTAAAAATTAATGTTGATACTATTATTTGAACACAGTGATTGGCTTGACACTGTTGACAGATGCGTCGACTCTGCTCCTGTCTAACAGGTGCAGGGAAGATGCCAGCTGTGTTTATAATCATTATTACATTGTACTAGTACAGTGACAGTACACAGTAGTACTAGTGATCTGGTGATTGGGCCAGTGCTACACCGCTGAGGCAGCCACATGTGGATGCATGTGAAGCAGGTCATTGCGCCATGGCGAGTGGCTGCTATAGCTGTGCCTGTGTTCATGTACAGTGTAGACCGTACAATTACCGGTACAATACTACCTCTTTACTACATTTAATTATTATCCTGCAAAGTATTTTGTAGATGCGTGACTACTACGTCATGTACTACAATTGGTACATGACTTAAATAGCCGTCTGGCATGGTACAATAACCTTTTTTCTTTCTTATTTTTCTTTTATTTTTTAATGGCTTTCTCTTCTTCCTCGAATGGTTTACAACCTGTATCACAATTATTTGTGGGTTCAGCAATAAAGGATGTGTGACTATGTTAGTAGTACATACTCAAAATGGGAGATCCTCCAGATAGGCGTAAGCCTTTGGTTAATCCTGAAATAAAGATTATATAGTGTTTCAATGACTGCAGTGTCTGCTCTAGGATTTCAAACCAACTGGGACACCTGTACCTGGCACAAGTCTTGCAACCGGGTCAGAGTTGGGTACATTCAAGTGCGGCTATTGTACATCAGGGAGTATCCCAAGTTGAAGTGTTTTTTTTCCAAGCGTGTTGAAGTACCCCCCAACCGGGTCGCTGACCCGAGTATGGAGCAGACAGACTCTGTTCTGGCCTTGTCTTTCTTTCTGTGCTAAGTCGCGCACATGTTTGAAAGAAGGCATCAGCGCAAAGGCCACTTCATTGCAAACATGAGATTCAGCTATAGCGCTAGGAAGCACCCACTATATGAATCGTAGCAGTGGTGGTGACCTTTTAGGGAGCTCCGTTGGCCTAGGCCTAGGACTTCATGGCCCCCCAGATGCACCATTATCGCTACTTTGTCACACCGGTGGTCCGATGGAACAGATCCTTGTTACTTGTATGCTGTGTGCCTCGTTGGAATCCTCACTGACGACGCTGGACTAGCGCTCGCCGCTCGCTATGCACTGACTGTCTGTGTCTGACTCTGTGCATGAACGCATGCCAGTCATGGACTACTGTCTGATGAAGATCGTCTCTTTGGCCCAGTCTGGGTCTGACGATGACGAGTGACGGTCGCTTTTCCTCACCCAGCCAACCTGTGTGTCAAATAGCCGGCCCTGATACATGTACATGGGTTTTAAAATATGATGCCAGAGAACTCGGATCCGACCTCAAGACTGTACCGCCCCAGGCGACGCGGCCCTAGCACCACACACGTGGCACCTATATACAATCATGTCCATTGTATGCTAGAATGGGGACTTTCCCCGAGTTTGGCAGAGGGAAAGTACCTTGCTGCACTTTGCTCTGGCCCTCTGTCTGGGGACCCCCGCTGGTAAGTTTCATGCATGTTTGCTATGTGGATAAAGAAATGGAGCAGAATTCGAGGAATTGCCCGCCATAAGGTTTGTATGGTTCTGCCAATTTCACTGCTTTTCGAGCAGAATCTGCCACCTTTTCGAGCATCATCCGCCAATGCCTACCCGCCGTCCGCGATGCGATCTCTTGGCTGGCACGTCACCTGGTCACACTCACAGGTAGATCGACTACAGTGCAGAGTAGACGGTACACAATAGTCACTTACGAGTATCATTCTTTTCTCATGCACGATCGAGGGATGATTGAGAGACGATCGAGAGACGAGACCGTAGGCATTGGCGGATAAGGCTCGAAAAGATTGCAGATTCTGCTCGAAAAGCAGTGAAATTGGCAGAACCATACAAACCTTATGGCGGGCAATTCCTCGAATTCTGCTCCATTTCTTTATCCACACACCAAACATGCATGGAATGTTTCAGAAAAGTTCCGAATTCCGCCAATTTTTCTGCCGGCATTATCCGCAAAATATATTAATGCCTTGTAGACGAGGGTCGTATTCGCAAGGTTGACTGTCGTACTTCCAAGAACATGTACTGTAGTAGATCTACCAAGAGTAGAAAGGGTATACTCTTGGCAGTGGGAGTCGAAATAAAACAAAGCCTAGGCCGAGTAAAACTATCAGTATGGACTCACTTGTATGGTCTAACCCAGAGAAAGGATTGATGGGCATGGCAGCCATCTCTTTCCCAGTGATCGCACCAACGCTGGCGTTTCTTTGTGTCTCCGACGTCTATACATGTACATGATTGTATTGTTGTTGGTTTGACAGCATGAAACAAGGTGGAGGACACCGTGTTCGGAACACAGTCACCTTACTGCTGTCATACCAACAACAATATGTGTGAACTAAAACAAGGTTTATCTAATACTGTACACCGGAGCGAGGGTGTACCCAGTGTGATGACAGTGCTCAACACCATGGCGGAGGCAGAGCATAGTACACAGAACAGAACAACAAGGACAATCAAGGCTTGTTTGCTGCGACTTGAAGTTTCATGCTCTCGCAATCATCAGGCAACAAACAAGCCTTGATTGTCCTTGTTGTTCTCTTCTAATAGTACTGTACATGTACATGCTGCCCATTGTATTTCCAGCGTTCGTCCTGTTCTTGCCTTGTTCGGTCGCAAATCAAATCAACTGCCCTGTACTAGCTATGTGGCACTTTCCTGGTCATCTGTCGCCAAGGACTGGTCATCTGTAGCCAAGGACTGGTCATCTGTAGCCAAGGACTGGTCATCTGTCGCCAAGGACTGGTCATCTGTAGCCAAGGACTGGTCATCTGTAGCCAAGGACTGGTCATCTGGAGTCAAGGACTGGTCATCTGTAGCCAAGTACAGGTCATTTCCGGCGATTCACATTCTTCGAATTACAGAGGCTCGACTGCAGCCGAATAATCATCTGTTTCAGAGTTTCTTCAAAATTGTAGAACAAATTGGAAGCGTCTACAATTCTTCAATGCTGTAGACTGGCTGGTATATGCATCTCCGCAATCCACGCCAGTCCAACCGAACACTTAGGAAATGTAAAAACGAACGTTTTCCTTCCCTTCTCTTCATAGGCTCTTACAGGGAATAAAGGAACAAAAATGACGAACACGGCAATTCATATGGGCAAAGAATTGAGGGACATACACATCACGCTACAAGTGTGAAAAGTTAGCGGGTCAAAACAGCATGAAGATTCTCCTCGAAGCAGTCGTGACGTAAGTACGATCATGTAGATCTGCATGGACATGTACAAAATGTACCATACCATGTACCATGTATACGCCCGTCGCAAGGGAAGCATGCAAATCTGCAAATGCACTGGATGTGCACCCACAGATTTTCTCAATATAGCAACGATAGCGAACAGGATCTGAATGAGACAGATCAAGACTTGCACCAGATAACTGTCTAATCCACACAACTGGCGAAGCCATGTGAATTGACCACCAAATCACCAATGCACACCTGGTCTACACCACACGGAGTACATCGGCATTAAACGGCCAAGACCTATGCACACCCTACACTTGCTGGGGTAACCAATATAGACAGCACGCTGCTCTACTAGAAGCAGACACTAGATGCACTGGTACCTTGAAGTGAAATTGGAGTTACTTTACCAACCGGCCTCGGCTACTGAATACTGGGAACCAGAGCCAGCAGACATACCGACAACCTCAGCCATGAAAGCTATTATACAATGTAGTAACGAGTACTAACGACACACTGGATTGTGGAGCCGAAATTAGTCCAAATGCTTTGGCAAGAAGGTAGCCTACAGGTTGGCACAAAATGTAGATCTACATGACTGCACTTACTTTGATCGGACGGCCCGCGGCCGGATGTCGACATGACTGATTGTCTCTGCAGCAGCAACAACTGCAACAGCAACTACAACAGCAGCTGCAGCAGCAGCAGCAACAACAACTGCAGCCGGACCAGCAGCAGCAACAACTGCAACAGCAGCTGCAACAAGAACTGCAACAGCAGCCGCAACAACAACTGCAGCAGCAGCAGCAGCAACTGCAACAGCAGCTGCAACAGCAGCTGCAACAGCAGCTGCAACAGCAGCTGCAACAGCAGCTGCAACAGCAGCTGCAGCAGCAGCAGCAACAACAACTGCAGCCGGACCAGCGGCAGCAACAACTGCAACAGCAGCTGCAACAAGAACTGCAACAGCAGCAGCAACAACAACTGCAGCAGCAGCAGCAGCAGCAACAACTGCAACAGCAGCTGCAACAGCAACTGCAGCAGCAGCAGCAACAACAACTGCAGCAGCAGCAACAACAACTCCAGCAGCAGCAACAACAACTGCAGCCGGAGCAGCAGCAACAACAACTGCAACAGCAGCAGGAACAGCCGCATGTACAGCAGTGGCTGTGGCATCAGCAACCGCAGCAGCGACACTACCAGCAACCAACGGAGCAATACCAACAAGCTACCAACCAGCTTGCTGGACTAAACCAGGTAGGGAATTGTTTGACCTCCGTGATATGCATCAAGTAGGCTGCTAGTGTAGTATCAACTCTCGAGTGCATGTCATGCTAGGGACTATGAGATATCAGTCCTGAACAGTTCCATCTGGCCATGGCAACCGACAATAGGGGACTACGTCACAACAGTTCAGAAACACCCACAGGGTTGTTGCAGGTGTCGTACAGTAGAATGTGGATTCTGCACAGTTCTGCAAGTTGTGAGGTGAACTATCTCACTCATATTCCACTCTCATGTAGGAGAGCGAGGCAGTTCTTCTTATTACAGCCCCCCCCCCCCCTCCCCACCCCTATCATCTCCCCCTCCCCCCCCCCCCCCATCTCCCGATCCTTTCTCCTTTCCTTATTTCAAATTGCGGCGAGGGAAAGGGACCACACTTTGAAATAACAACAACACCGCATCGTGCAACAATGTCAGCCGTTGAACGAGTTTTTATCCTTCTGTTATCGTGTATTTGTCTTGTCCAGGTTGCATCTGCACTGCCTGCATCCCGTACCGGCACTGCTTCTAACGGCTCTGACGTCGCTGGTCAGCAGAATGCCCTGCCAGCCATTGGCGCTGCATTTGGGCAGGACAATGTAAGAACGGCAATGGAGGATGGCATGGATTCGTCTGACAAGGGCTACTCTTCTGGACCAACGGCTACTCTTGCCACCCTTGCTGGTGACGTTGAGCTGGAGCCGATGTCAATGCAATCTTCTGGAACGCAGGTAAGCCACTTTAAAGTGCCCCGACCAGGGAAGGACCTGGTGATGGGGTGCTCTCGCTGTACTTTTCGGTAAATCCAATTGCCAATGGCCTTGCTTGTTCCCACCCCCTGTTCATTAATGCCAATCCATTCAGTGGTCACTCCTTCAACCTCCCCCCCCCTCCCCCCCCCCCCCCGCCCTCCTCTGATGTCAGTTCCCACACTAGCATGCACGGGCCTGAGGTGGGTTCTGGTATAAAGGGGTTACTGCCACATTATTTGTGCACGGAAATACAAGAGGCTATGTAGACTGCTGTACTGTAACTTGAAGTTTCAGACGCTGAGCGACCATCAAACAGCACCATCAAACAGCACCAACAGACAGCAGCATCAAACAGCACCAACAGACAGCAGCATCAAACAGCACCAACAGACAGCACCATCAAACAGCACCAACAGACAGCGAAACACTGTCCCCATTGTCACAGGGAATTTTTCTGCCGCTCTCCACTCAGATGCAGGTGTGTGGAGCACTCATCCGAGATGCCCCGGCCAGCCCTGATTCACCGTGTAGGCATAGCACGTTCAGCGCCATGGGTACATCAGTTAAAGCCATGTCGGAATGTTTTTTGTGGGGTGTGTGTGTGTGGGGGGGGGGGGGTGGGGGGTGGGGGGTAGGGGGTATTTGAGTACCGAAAGCAACCCCCAGCCGCCTGGTGCTTAGCTGCCTAGCACCGAAGTGGAACTTGTCGAAATATTGACACTTGCATGAGACGTACAGGTTCCTGGCATCATTTTTGGCAGTCACGTGAAGGTACAGTTTCATACGTTTTTTTTAATCTCCACAAATGCCTTTTAATTTCTTTAGGGACGACAATTGGGGCTGGGCATTGTGAGTGGTTGCATCTTCAAGGCTACATTGTCCCGTGTTCTGCGTGTGATTATTCTATGCAATTCCTTGTAGGGGCTATTACCAAACAACACCACTCCAACTGGAATTCTTCCACTGGGTGGCTCTGCATCTTGCAATAATGGTGGTGGTGCGAATGGAGCTCCATTTCAACCATATTCTCAAACCAATGGCAATGGTTCAATGGCTTTCAATACCACCACTAACACTAGCGATCCTCGCACCACCCATAATCAGGTTCGTATGTGAGCGATCGTTGTTGTCTCTCTGTGTCTCTGTGTCTCTGTCCGTCTGTTTTGTTTCCGCCTTGCTACCAGCAAGGCAGCAGTGGTGTTGTTTCTGTCGCATTCTGTACTCTCTCTATTTTGCACTCAGGGTCCACAAACAGTCCATACTGTGAACGCGGCTGCATTCTCTTGCAGCAGCAGTAGTGACAACATCAACAACATAAGCAGTGGGAGTGGCGTGTCCGATGCGGACACTGCCCTGCCTAATGTGAATCAAATTGACCGGCGTCGGTTGGTCTCCCCATCCGGTCTTTACCAAGAATGCGGATCCAGCTTGAATGTCGGTACTGTGCCAGTGGCCAACCATATGATTAAACTAGCACATGCTGGAATGCCTGGATCAAACACAAGCATCTCTGTTCACTCAGTTCCTAACAGTCAGGTACTTTATATGCTCCTTGGTGTCTACATGTGTGCGCGCGTGTGTGTGTGTGTGTGTGTGTGTGTGTGTGTGTGTGTGTGTGTGTATGTGCGTGTGTGTGTGTATGTGTGTGTGTGTGTGCGTGCGTACGTGCATGTGTGTGTCCATGGGCAGAGGTGGGCTGGATGCTGAGGCAGTGAAAAGAAATCATGCATGCTTTCTGAAGACCGGAACAACTGTGCACTTCTTGCAAGGGGCGTTTATTGCAACTCGCTCGACAAGTACAGAATGAGATACTGACTTGTTTCCATGTCCCAAATTGGGCCGAGCTGGCTGGGCATTGCGATGTGTTTGGCAATGAGTTTATCCCGAGTGAAAATTATTATGAACTTGTTATGAACCAATTGTAGAAGTTTCCTAACCACCTCTATATCTCGTTGCCTTTGTGCTTGCTGAAATCACCCCAGGACAACTTCAGGCCGCCTGATGAATTGGACACAGCCTTCATCAACAGTCAGCCTCCCGGCCGCAACAATGGTTCCATGTTGCATGCTGCCGTCTCGAAGTCACACACTGGCGTGGTAGCTACCAACGAGACAGCTGTTTCACTGCCGATAAACGATCGGTCATCTCTGGCTGGCAAACAACAGCAGCAGCAGCAACAACAACAACAACAGGAACAGTTGCAGCATCAGGAGCAACAGCAAAATCAGCATGAGCAGCTGCGGCAGCAGCAGCAGTGGAATTCACACGGTGTAGGCCTGCACGAATGCCCCGTACTATCCGACAATGATATTGAGGATGTACTTGGACGTATGACACCGGATGTGAGTTGACCTGGCCTGTGTGTGTGTGTGTGTGTGTGTGTGTGTGTGTGTTTGCGAGTCTCTGGGTTGTGTGCTTGCGAGTCTGTGTGTTGTGTGTTTGCGAGTCTGTGTGCGTTTGTGTGCGTGTGTGCGGGCGCGCGGTTGTGTCTGTGTGAACTTTCTTATACATGTAATATTATATTTTCTGGGTTTCCTCTCTTCAGGGGTCTGACTGGGTTCTCTTTCTTGCGCTTTGTCATTGTGTTGTGTTGTTCTTTGTGACCAGTCCGGAGAGGCAAGGCACATGGCTAGTTCAGGACAATGTGGGCCTCACATCACGACTCTGGCATTGCCGGCAGGTAATGACGATGGAATTGACCCCTTCCCGGCGATGGAATTCAACCTTGCAGAAGTGCCTCACAGTGCCCCCATGGCGGCTGCATCTGTTGCTGAAGCTGCTTGTGCAGTCAGTACCCCACACGGACATAGTGTGGAGGAAGTCGAAGGTAAGACCAGGGCCAGTGAGGATGAACAGCTGTCTGGCCAGTCTGAAGCACGTTTTCTCTGTTGCCTTAGTTTTCTTTTTGTTCTAAGCACTGTGAAGAAACGGGGATCTATCCAGTACTACTTGGTCCGCGCCAGCAATATTGTCGCTTATCTTTCGACAATTTGAACTTAGACTTTGGACATGAACGCGTGCACTTGAAGTGATAAAACTTGGTACGATGGACGGTAAGGTATAGAATGACAACTAGCTGTAAGGAATTTATTGTCCAAGGAAGTGTTCCTACTTTTTTCGGTCCTCCTCGTCGCTGCTCTCGACGCTGGTGACAAATATATTTGCTCGCGATCGACTCTCTTGGTTTTGCAAGCTCATCTCTCTTCCTCTCCGCTGCCTGGCTATTTTCTAAACAGAAGTCGATCGTGACTGTCGCCTTCTCTATAGGACTTCGCGTGGGCAGTACGACAGCCTGTGTGGTTCAAATCAGATGCCGTTCTTTGCAAGATTTTATTTTGAACGACGACGACGACGCGTACAGTACTTGCAAATCTCCACGACGCGCTGGATACTCCGAGCGTTGAGTTGGAGGTAAGGGAGCTGAGATCTCAGCTTGAGGAGCGATCCCTGAGGTGAGCGATGTCGGCCGTTCAGCAAAATGGAGCTGATTCCGAGTAGCCGATTACACTGTACTTTCTTGTGGCTTGCGCTGCTCTTGCCTGCACAGCGTAACAAGATCATGTATTTTGATGCCTCGCTGTATCAATCAGAATCACCCACCCGTCGCTCTCGAAATCCAATCGAAATCTAGCTAGACCTTTCAGGTACTAGTAAACTAACTTACTAACCAAAATTGGGATGAAATGGGCTGCCATTTGAGCATCGGCGACATATAAACAAAGCTGAAAGATAAGCGACAATATCGCTGACGCGCGGACCAAGTACTTCAAAGTAAAAACCAGAAAAAAAGTTCCAGAGTTTCCAGTAGCTAGTGTCGGGAGATAGCCTCATGCCTGAAACTCAGTTGGAACGCAGTCTTCATTCTGTTCATCCTTGTTGCTATTTCGAACTATATATTTGTCCAATCTCCGGACAACTACAGCTATCTGTTTGAACATAGCTTGAGTGACTGGCCGAACCGGTCACAATGAAGTCTAGTGAACTAAAAAGCATTTTAAACCGACAAAAAGTAAAGTATCAAAGTTAAAGGGCTCTAACTGTGGTGAAAACACGAGCTCTGTTTGGGAACAGCAACTTTGACGCTTACCAGATGGATGCCTGCTCACTCAGTCGCCCATCTCTCTTGCCTCCTGTCTCTCTTTTATAATACTTAGTGTTGTTGTTAATGTGGCTCGCTGATAATTACTGTAAGAGTTGAAAGTGTAACGAGTCTTAAGTTTAAAGATTTTTCCAATTTTCCCACGAAGCGGGCACACCGTTTAATGACCCTGCCAGCACACACCTATCTTCTATTTCTCTAGTGCTACGTAGAGAAGGAATAACATACGTGTAACGTTTCTTGAGATAACGGTGGACTCTTTCTCGTTGAAAAGCTAGACTTTGTGCCCCGTTAAAGATTCAACTCTTACAGTATCTTCTTTTCAATGTTTTCGCCTCTTTGTCAATGTCACTATTGCTGTTCTCTTTAGAAGCTGATGACATGGCCACTAGCAAAGCTACACTGTCCACTCAGTCGGATGACAATGTCACTGAAATGACGGCCAGACTTCTACAAGTCCTGAAAGAGAATGACGAGTTGCGAAAAGCACTGAAGTTGAGGGAGGACGAGGCAGAGCAGAATCGTGTTGCGGCCCTGGAGACAACTCGTCTTGCTGAGGAGAATGCCCGCCTTGCTGAACACAATAGACGTCTTGCTGAACAGAAGCATGTGGCAGAGCAAGCTAGGCATGACCTCCAACAAGCTGTGAATCGGAACAAGGCCAAGCCAGGGCTGCTTGATGCCACCAGGTCAAAATCAAGGCCAAGACGCGCACGTTCGTCATCAAGACCGAGCGTTGAGCCAACCGAAAGAGAGGGTAGGTGAATACCGTATTTCCCTGTAAGTTAGTACGTACTAACTTTCGAACTTAGCAGCCGCATGAGTACTAACTTTTGGGGGTGGTACTATCTTTCGGGGAGTACTTTTTTATCGGGGGTAAATGACACGCAGTGGGAAGCCTGCGCAAATCTAGTGTCCGTGCATATGATGTATGTACTGTACGGTGTCTGTACATGTAGGATGGGTACGAACTTACTATCTTTCGGGGGGACTGTCTTTCGGGGTGATAACCTCGGAAGTGGAAAGTGTATTTTTTATAGGGGGGTACTAAGTCATTGGGGAGAACTAACTTACGGGGAAATACGGTAGTTAAGTGGGGAAATGAATGTACTGTATTTCCCGGGGTATAAGCCGCACCCCCCCCCCATTTTTTACCATGAAATACAGACATCTATCCTCTTTATCCACTTTCGCCATCAAGACCGAGGGTTGAGCCAACGGAAAGAGAGGGTAGGTGAACAGTGAAATGGGGAAAGGAATGTATTGTATTTCCCGGGGTTTGAGCCGCCCCCCCATTTTTTTGCCAGGAAATACAGACATCTATCCTCTTTATTACCGTTAAGTTGATCATCAGAGTATAAACCACACCCCCTTTTTGGGGTGAAATTTGAGTGTTCAAAGTGCGGCAATTCGTTCGTTTGACTAGAACAAAAGGTTCAATTAAAATACATAATGTACGGACTGTGCTTTATTGCCATGCATTGTACGTACCAACTGTGGCCATTTGTTTTGGCCTGAAACTCAATTCCATCTCGAAGGTAAGCAGACAATGTTGAGGTCACACCTCTTTGTTGAGGTCACTGCCCTTTGTCAAACTCACAACCCTTTTTTGAGGTCACAACCCTTTTTGAGGTCACAACCCTTAGCCGAGGTCACAACCCTTTGTTGAGGTCACAACCCTTTGTCGAGGCCACAACCCTTAGCCGAGATCACAACGCTTTGTCGAGGGCACACCCATTTGTCGAGGTCACAACCCTTAGCCGAGGTCACAACCCTTTGTCGAGGTCACAACCCTTAGCCGGGGTCACAACGCTTTGTCGAGGTCACACCCATTTGTCGAGGTCACACCCGTTTGTCGAGGTCACAACCCTCAGCTGAGGTCACAACCCTTTGTCGAGTTCACAACCCTTTGTCGAGGTCACAACCCTTAGCCGGGGTCACAACGCTTTGTCGAGGTCACAACCTTTTGTTGAACCCGCTGCTCTTTGTCAAGGAGATACCTATATCTCGAGATCTGACGTCTTATGGTGAGGACATTCCCATGTCGAGGTCACATCTCCTATTTCACCTCTCGCTGAGTCTGTTCCTCTGTCGCGTGGGCACAAGGTGCACCTGTGTGACTTGTGTGTGTGTGTGTGTGTGTTTGTGTGTGTGTGTGTGTGTGTGTGTGTGTGTGTGTGTGTGTGTGTGTGTGTGTGTGTGTGTGTGCATTGGGTGATTCTCTTTGGTTGGTTTATTGTGTTTGATGGCGTGCATGTTCTCTTATGAAATGATGAATGGAGCCTGCTACACTACAGTCCATTCATAAAAAAGATGATATCCTAGCTTTTGACGGGTCAAATTTTGAACTTTTTGCAATTCAGATGTTGAGCAAATAATAAATGTAAAAAGCAAAGGCGCATATGGATACGAGTGAAGAGTAACTCTCCATCACTGTAACCAGATACTGTATACAGTCAGAAAGTGCAACGACTAGGCACACAACTGACAGAGTACTGAGACGTTCGACGACCTGACACCTAGCTCCAACACATCTCCGAAGTGCTAACCAACAGCGTTCCAACTCGGAAGGTTCTAAGTTAAGGTAGACCAAAGAGGGGAAGGTAAGCGCAACGAAAATGAGCACAAGATTAAGTCCCATGGGAACAAAGAATGGCGACTGTTATTGGACGATTCTGAGACCAGTAAGATATTTGAGAAAGCGGTCTAAGTAAAATTCGAAGCAGCAAAGCAGCACTCCGCCCAACGTGTGCGGCTCAGAAATTTCAAAGATAAACAAAGAAGGGGAAGCTCTGCGAAAACGAATTGTACAAAACTGAACGCCAAACTCTCAGAGCACTCCTGCATTACAATGTGATGGACTAGATGACTATGAAACAAGTAGTTTCACACAACGTACGTTTCGCCGTAATGTTCGTGACAGCAACAATCGACATTCCTTGTTCCCGTGGGACTTCAGCTTGTACTCATTTTCATTGCGCTTACCTTCCCCTCTTTGGTCTACCCTTGACTAGAACCTTCCAAGTTGGAAGGCTGTTGGTTAGCGCTTCGGAGATGTGTTGAAGCTAGGTGTCAGGTCGTCGAATGTCTCAGTACTCTGTCAGTTTTATGCCTAGTTTTTGCTGACTGTCACATGATGATATAATTACAGTGGTGGACAGTTACTCTTAAATTGTATCCATTGTATCCATACGCCCCTTTCTTTTTTAACCCTTTCAGCCCTGACTGGAAAATCACCTCCCACTGGGCCAAAAATGGCAATTTTTGAAAATGCATATTCTGGTCCAAAATTGGTTGGATATGTTGGGTATGGACATATGCACTGTGAATCCAAAGAAATTTTGTAGGATTTCATTGTACGAGACTCATAACACCATATTTAGATATGCGACTTTTGGCGATTTTTCCTCAAAATTCATTCAATTTGGGCAATTGACGACAAAGATCAGACAAGCAATGGCAAGCAGTGCTATAACTGGTCAGTATTGACTTCAGAATGGAGAAATGTCATATAACATGCTTGATATGATCCTGGTGTTCTACGGCAACCTAGACTAGAGTACAGCAACTCGTTTTATACGGCGCTTGCATCATATGCGACTTCGCGATCCAGAATGGGTCTTTCTTTTTCTTGGGCGCCTCGTAAAGCTTGAATCCTCCAGCAGCCCTACCTACTTCAAGCCAAAACCATGTGATGGACAGTGAGGATGCCGAGTAACTGGAGTAGCAACCACAGCAACTGCATCAGCTATAATAGCAGCCGGTGCAGTGGCAGCGGTTGGCTCACTGTGCTCGGCGCATCCCAGGGTGATTCATCTCTGGCCGCACGCGTACGTACGTACGCGGCACAGGTAAAGTCATATTGATGGAGAATGCAATGCTGCTCATTCTCTGATTTGGACACTCGCCGGCAAGACAATCCAGCTATCTAAATAGTCTGAAGCATTCCCTAAACAGCCGAGTGCATACTGCGTACCGGTGTACGTACGCATGAAAATTCAAGAAACAATCGGCTGCGCAATTATTTCTGATAGTGATTCAAAATAGCACAATTGTTGACTATTCTGGATTATTCTGGATTCATATTAGATAGCAATCTCCATCCTGTAGGTGCCTGGCTCTGTACTCAACATACAATACCTACATGTATGCACATCTCTATTGTGGGCTGCATGCATGCCTGACCAGTACACTTGACTTCAAATTCAAATATTTTCAAAAATCTGACCTTCAAATTTGATCGCAGTTTACTTGAAGAACTTCAGCAAACGGGCTCACGACAGATAGCTCCTGCTCAGAACACCATGCCTAGGTGTCAGAGACTTCAGCATCGCTTTCCAAATCTCTTTGGTCTCCAGCATCCCCTGCGTCCGAGTCAGCTGCGATCTTTTGAATAGCAGCAAATTCGTAATCCTCAGAAAACGACTCCGACACAATTTCGCTGTCTCCAGAATCATCCTCAGAGTCATTACCCGCCTCACACTGCTTCCCAGGACTCCTTCCATCGACACAGAGTAGTTGAGCTACTTACCTTGCCGAGAAACAGCAGGGCAAGATGACGAAAACGAACTTTGAGCAAAACAATTTATTTGAACGATATGCCAAAAATACGCACTTCAAACTCGATGCTCGCGGCTGTTCTGCTGTGCAGACTGGCCACATACACGTCGATCAGGGCCTTCAGCCCACTGAGGCCCAGTTCCAGGCCCCACTGATGTTGAGGCATCAGTACAAACGCGACGTACACTGAGGACGTATACGTCGTCAGTGGGGCAGGTGCACACGTCATGACGTATATATACGTCGACAGTGGTGCCGAAGGGTTAAATTGTGAGCTTTTCACAATTTCTTTGCAATCCCATGGAATGCTCTTCCAATTATGTTCATGAAATCTATTTCTCCAAAAAGCAAGCCATAACAAGAATAGGATTTCGGCCAGGTTTTCCCCAAAAACATTGAATTGGGAAAAGCATGAAAATCCAGGCCACTTCACTCCAATTGCAATGGTACATTGTGCAGGTTCAAACACCGGTTGAGGTACCTTTTGGACCCTTTTTCAAGTTTCAAATTTCGCGGCACTGCACCGTGTACGATAAAATCACGAAAAAAACACCAAATAACTTACTTGTACGGGTGCCCACCAGAACCAGCGCTCGTCTTTTTGTGAATGGAATGTAGTTGGTGCACTCTTGCACTACCTATCTCTCGATTGAGCAGTGAAGCTGTTCCACACAATTTTCTTGGGCATTCGTGTTTGTCGTGGAGAAGTTCGAACTCTCTGTCACTTGAAGGATATGTCCTGTTGTAGTGTTTATGACCTCATGATTGTGCCGGTGTAGTTCTATTTTCAAATGGTTTCACCCGGGCTGCCATCTTGTTTGCTTCTTCTGCCGCTCCAGAGTCCAAGAAGAAGCTGAATGAACTGTTACTCCATGGAATGGTGAGTGCTTTGCACATCTTGTTCTTGTTTTGCATTACCACTTCAACTAGTGTATTAGCTTATTGAATGCTCCTCCCCCCCCCCCCCCCCGTATCACGCATTCTGTACTTTGGTATAAATTTTTAAGCGGTCTGTATTCGAGCCCTGATTCAGACCGATCTTTTCGGTTTCACGGTATCTTTTCAGCTGTAATATACGTTAAGACGCCACAACTTGTGAAAGTACTCCTGTTTGAAAATGTTCTTCCGAGAAATCCTTGTGGAAACAAAAATTATTTTAATGTGTGATGCGATAGTATGGTAATTATTATTATAATTTATAGAAAAGAAAAGGACCAAGGAACTACAAGTTACACTATAATGTCCACTAACACCACCAGTTACTAAACAATCTGGTCATGCGATAACATTGCACGACACTGACCGTCGGTACTGACGTTCTACAACTAGAGCTGACGGCCAGTTAGTTGTAGAACGTCAGTACCGTCGGTCGGTGTCGTGCAATGTTATCGCATGAGCTGATTGTTTAGTACCTGGTGGCGTTAGTGAACATTATATCGTAACTTGTAGTTCCTTGGTCCTTTTCTTTGCTATAAATTAAAATTTTAATATGGCCATCCCCACAGTCCCAAGGCCTACCATAAATGTGCCAATACAAGTAATAACATGATCACTTGGGTGATAGCAATATAATCTTATCTTTGCAAACCCCGTTCTCTTCTGTCTTTGTCTTGCTACACTCCTGAAGGGACACCCAAATCAGAGACCACTGCTGTCAGCGCCTGTCCCGGCCACCACACAAGCAGAGGCAATGAGTGCCGAAGCTACTCAAACCTCGGCTGGAGTCAGGAGTTTCATTGGTAGAATCATCAAGCCTGAAGAAATTGGTAAGTTTGTAGTCTTGAGTCCCTGCTTACCGAGTGCATATGCGATGGAGTCACCACAGTTTCAATCTGGGATGATACCCCCATGGATGTTCTGTATGTACCAACAATTTCTCTCTCAGGGGCTCACTATGAAAAAAAAGTTCTGGCACTTGCGAGGTCACCAAGAACAATCCTTTTATTCCCACATGTACATTTAATTCTACGTCTCATTGATAGCACATGATTGTGCTTGCGTGCTTTCTTCTTTCACTATTTCAGAGCATGTTACCCTCACGCCAGGCAAAGAAAGATTCAATGTAAGTACAAGGGCGATGCTGCCATGAAGTGAATCACCATTAATTTGCTATTCTCTGCGTGATTTTCGTCATATATGGAGCCAAACAATGACATGATTTCGCAGCGTATGCAGTATTTTCGATACTGCACGGGGAAACCCCGTTTGTCCTGCGCAGTATTGCTATACTGCATTGAATTTGACCTTTGAACTGACCCTTCTTTCTACCCAAATACGTCAGGTATACTGTGATAGTAAACTTCTAGAGATGTATATAGAGGGGTCAAGTATAGTGGTCACATGGGACATGGTAAAAATAATGAAATATTTTGCTTGCATGAAGGCAGTACCGGATGATATCTCTTTTTAAAGCGGGGTTCACTCGAGCTTTTTTTGCCATGCGATGCACGATCGACGCGATCCACAACACCACAGCGCCATGCAAACCGGTAAAATACCATTCACAGACGAAGTCACCGATGTGACGTCGCCTGTTGCTGATGTGTCTCAAGCTCATTGCAGGTTGGTACGTCACCATGGCATCCGCGTGGCTAAGTACAGCTTTTTACAAATCTGCAAGCAACTCTTGAACCGTCGGTACAACTTTGGTGCAAAGAAGGTCCAAATCGCACATCGCATCGCAGGTGGCAGTGCGGAAGTGGAGCCACGTTCGACTTCTGTAATCATCCAATTGCGACATTTGCGTGAGCTGAGCGACGGACGCGAGGTGGTGATTTCCCGGTTTCGCGGCCGTCGGATCCCATCGCAAAAATGCTTCTGTGAATCCCTCTTAGACCGTTGCTGCCTGCGTAGCTATGGGGCCGAACTGCGCACGTGCCTAGGCGATACTCTCATGCATGCATATAGCATTCCTAGCGGCATATACCAAGAATGATATAGTGTCTTTGCAGTACATGGATAGGGTTTCTATGGGACCAGCACTTAATTGGCCTTTATCTGGCAGCCACATTTCTTTCGGTGAGTACACCCTGTACTAAAAAAACCCTTGGTAAGGCTCTGTGTGGGCTGTGGAGACAGCAATGTCACACAGTAGTGCCCGATGCCGGAGAGCTTACGCATGCTGCACACATCACCGTTTTCAGTGTTTTCTGCGTGTTCTTGACTTTCAGCGACAATTCCATGTGGAGGCACACTTCGACGGGTTTATCCCAGACTGTGCGTCGCAAGGTCATACCCTTTACTTTCAACTGACGTCCACAAGGCGCACTGTGAGGAGTCAAGCAGCTGAGTTTTCCAGGCACGCTCACATTCTCACAGCACTAGTGCCAAGCATACCAAAAGGTAAGAACTTACTAAGAAGACACGCTGTCTCAGGCGCATAGCTCGCATGGGGCACGGGGCACGTGCACCCCCCCCCCCCCCCTAAACATTTCAACCTACATGCGGGTTCAGTATGCACGTTATGACCATGAATGGCATGCACCAGCCATCCTACACATACATGTTCATGGTGCGGCCGTGCACCCCCTTAAAGGAGGGGGACCAGTTACGCCCCTGCTGTCTTGCTGTGGTGGGCACTTGCTAGGCGTTCAAATTTTATCGTCCTCTATCGTATCCCACACGACTGTTGCTATTAAACTTTCATTGCCGCCACCTGCACAATACCTAGTCTGAACCGTTACAGTAAAACCTGTGTTTAGCGAACCCTGTGCCAACCGGGATCCTGTCACAACTCAACACATTTTCAGGCGCCGACGTGTAGCCATTGATAATTCACCGCAACAAGGGGCATCATATTGACATTTGTGGAGCATAGAATACTTTCGTGTGGGCAAAGCACACCTCACTCAAGTACATGCAGTGCATACTGCACTGTCACTTGTCACTTCTGTTCACTGCATGCACTTGGTTCAGAGCGCACTTCAACCCTGTTGCAGTCAACCCCGGCAGCCAAGAAGGCACTTTTGGTTAGTTATGGTCGCTGTGTGCAGGTCCAATAATGTGGCATTTGGTACACTAACAGTTAGGCGCTGGTCGCGCAAGGCAGGTGGTCCCTGTGTCCGGTGCAGTTTCTGTGTAGAACTGCCCGTGCATGGGAAGACAGTCGTTAAAAGCAGGTGGTCGCTAAAACCAGAGGTCGCTTACACCACGTTTACTGTACTTAATCATCAAATTCTTGCCTGCACTCAGGGTGAAAAGTTGAACTAAAGACGACCAACGAAGAACTGGAGTGATATAAATATCTTTCATTAATTGCTCTGCAGATGGCATTGGCTGTAATGAGGAAGTGTTTGAAGTCACGCTGGTTTGCCAAATGGGTCGCAAATCATGCCCGGCCATTGGCCACATCACGCTCAATGCGGAGGAGCAGCAGGCAGGCCCTGGGTCAAAAAGCTCAGTTCCCGCACGAGATCCGAACACTGCGACCAGTGGATCAGGCACACGTGGGAGTGGTGCGTCAGCAGGGGCAAGCAACGCATCATCCTGCGTCAGCGCTCTGCCTGGTGGAATGCATGCTGGAATATCTCAGTGCAACATGGCCATTGCTACAGGAGCTGATATCATTGTGAGCAACCATGGCGGTGCTGACAATAACGATGGAAGCAGCTCGTCAGATTGTGATCCAACATGCCATCAGTGTGTTGCCACGGTAAGTTGGTGTGTAGACTTTTTTTGCTATTGTTGTTTTTGCTCTGGGGTTGCTGTTGTTGGTTTCAAAGTTTTCCTGTTCTTTTTTGGTGCATTTCTTTTAAGCGAGATTCACAGAAGCTTTTTTGCGATGCGACACGCGATGCGACGGGATCTGCGATGGACGCGTGCAATGCGAACTCGCGAAATACCATTCACAGAAAAAGTCGGCGATGCGACAAAGTCTTGCTGATTTGGGTACGTCACCATGATATTCGCGCGGTTTGGTACAACTTGTACAAATTATAGGCAATTTTGAACCTTTGTACAACTTTGCTGTAGAAAAGGTCAAAATCTTACGCCAAATCGCTTGTCGCATCGCAAAGGTTGAGCCAAGCTTAACTTCTGCGATGGCCCAGTTGCGGCAGGTGAGTGGGGTGCGAGATGGCTGCGATTTGGGGATTTCCCGGTTTCGCGGCAGTCGCATCCCGCGTCGCATCGCAAAAAAGCTTCTGTGAACCCCGCTTTACTCTCCTCAAATCGGTAATGCGGATTTGGAGACGTGCATGCTGCAGGTTTGAGTTGTGAGGCCACTACGACTGAGCTCAGCCTGTGACAACTGTGCCGCCTTGCGCCTCAACTGGAGCAATTACATTTTTTTCGAGGGGAAGTCGTGCCTGGGGAGTGAGAAATACCCCCACTGAGATCCTTTTGCAATGTCTACATGTAGTTAAGAACTTAGAACTGCAGGTATATGATGCTATACATTACTGTGCGTGCGTGCGTGCGTGCGTGTGTGCGTGTGGGCGTGCGTGCATGCGTGTGTGCGTGGGCGTGTGTGCGTGGGCGTGCGTGCGCACGTGCCTGCCTGCCTGCGTGCGTGCGTGCGCGCGCGCGGCTGCGCGTGTGCGTATTATAATATTCTTCATCTGCACTGGTGAACTATTATCTGTCACCAGGTTCCCTTTATGATGTCCGCCCAAGGTGGGATAACAAGTTCATCATCTTCGGCTGAAACTGACTCCGATGACAATGTGTGCAGAGTAACAGGTGGAGACGCTGTCAGCCAACCTTGCGGCGTGCAAGCTTCGGCAAAGGTAGACCTATTATTATGAACATGTACCGCATTTATAAGGAAGTTTGGTTGCTCCCACACTGGAGCTCGCGCTTCCCCGCGAGCTCCAGTGTGGGAGGAACCAAACTTATTTTTAAAATTTTCGCCGAGGTCGCTACCGCTATTTGGTAATGTACCGCATTTCCCCAATTATAAGTTGTATTCTGTTATACATCGCACCCCCATTTCCAGGCCTTTGTCGTGTAATTTCTGTGTGTTTGTCCAAGTACCGAGTCCACTGAATGACGTACTCCACTATCAGTTTGCTCCCACTGGAGCTCGCCTTTTTCCCCCAGGCCAGACCATGAACAGGGATACAAATTTGCGCAGGCCAGATACCTCGTGACTGGCGAGATGCTATGATAACGCCTCTGCATAAGAAAGGCAGACGGACAGATCCAACAAACTATCTATATAGAACTGCAGGTACGATGCTATACAATACTGAGTGTGTGTGTGTGTGTGTGTGTGTGTGTGTGTGTGTGTGTGTGTGTGTGTGTGTGTGAACGTGCGTGTGTGCGTGCATGCATGTGTGTGTGTGCGTATTATATATTCTTCATCTGCACTGGTGAACTATCATCTGTCACCAGGTTCCCGTCGTGATCCCGGTCCATGGTGGGATAACAAGTTCATCATCTTCGGCTGAAACTGACTCCGATGACAATATTTGCAGAGTACCAGATGGAGACGCAGCCAGAAAACCCTGTGGCGTGCAAGCTTCGGGAAAGGTACAAATGCCATATACAGTCAACTTCGCTTATAACGACACTCGGCGGCGGGGCATCAAAAAGGTGTCCTTATTCGCGAAGTGTCGTTATACCTGAAGTCTAATTGTTATGTATTACAGTGGGATGGGACTTTGCTCTGGGCATGGAAATTCTGTCGTTATTCACGAATTGTCGTTATATCCGCAGTCGTTACTAGCGAAGTTGACTTTACCTCATTTTCCTGATTATAAGTCGACGGTATTCTGTCACAAGCCACGCCGCCTTTTCCATACCTTCATGCAATTTCTATGTTTTCATTCGAGTACCGAGTCATACTCAACTGCATGGTGTACCCCAATCTGTGAAATGTTGGTGTGTTGAAAAACGGCGAAGCTGATATTTATGAGAACTGCTGTCATTATTGGCTATAAAAACTACCATGAAGTCCCGTCTTGAAGTTGGAAGGACACACACACACACACATACACAGGGTTCTCCCTTCTATCGGTCACTTCTAAGATTCAGGAACGACTGGCGCACAGAGCTCTATACAAACATCTCGACAAATATCTGCCTGCAGAACAGTCTGGTTTCAGACAGAAGGATGGTACAAGTGTGTGTGATTGCGAAGTGAATCTCGAAGTGAAGTCCAAGTGTATAAATCCTCTTGTAGTTTCAGCATTCCTTTAAGTCACAAATTCCATTGATTTTTGTGACAAGAAAACGTTCTGAAACACTTTATTCGTTGCTACGATTGTGATATCAGTGTGCATATAGTTTTATTCATTGCATTGTTTTCAAAATAATTGTCTCCACGTCGCCTTTTTAATTAAATATGCGCATAAGGTATACTAATGTCCTAAGAGTGCTGCACTAACGGCACCCATTCCGGTTGCTGTGGCACACGATATTAATTACACTACCAGTTATATGATTTGGGGAATTATTTGCACATGGCTCTACTGCTGTTACTGTCTATCCGTCTCTTAGGATTTCATTTAGGGCTTGTTGATTTTTTTGTTATTAAATTGTGCCAATTTGTGCATTCTGTTTTGACATGCCGTGACGTGCAACAGGAACCAGATACTCCCATGTCCGCAGTCGAGTACTTCCGCGTTAAGTTCAAGGATACACTGCTGGCCAATCTCATCTTAGGTGAAAAGTTCGAAGCAGAAGGTTGGAAACTGGTGAAAAGAATGGTAGCCATTGCGGTCGACCTGGAGCAAGATCTCCATGATCTACACCAGAAAGCCGAGGTAAATGTGTGCGTGTGCATATATGTAGTGTCTATCTGTGCGTATTTGTGCGTGCATACACGCACGCATGTATTGTATTGTATGCAGGTTTCTAATAACCAATGAGGAGACAACAGTCGTAAAATAGCAATGAATATAACTAATTGTGCACTCATAACCACCGTGAGCTGCTACATTCTTCCGCTCCTTGTCATATTATTCTAGCTACGTAACTTGATGTTTTAGTCATTCTCACTATGTGACGATGTTCCACTGATGATAGTCACGAGAAAACGTCCTGGACATTTTTCATTTTAATAATAATAATAATTAGTTCACACAAGTCATGGTTATGAGTTCATAATTAGTTTTATTCATTGCTATTCAGGTTTCTAGCAGGTGAAAATAGTAGGGGGGGGGGGGGCTGAGGAAACACCCTGTAACCCATTTTTTCCATTTTCCAAAATAGACTTGTCACCCAAAATGCAACGTACCCCGACTTCACACCAGATATGTGTGCCTTTATAAACCATCTGATACTATCGTCCACATTTCTCGTTGAATGGCCAGCAAACACACCAAAATGGACAAATGAGTAAGGAGCGCCACTTCTTCACAGGGAGGCAGGCGGTCAATAGGAGAAGGGGAGCGCTGTGCCCCCTACCCTTCTTTGGGTAGAACCCTGCATGATATTGTATTTTATTATTTTTACTTGGGCATTCCGAACAGGCCCTGAGGTCTTCGTACAGGATGCCCAAGATGAAACAGTGTGTGAAGTTCCTGGCGAAATGAATTGGGGATATGAGTATTGCGAAGGGTAGGGTAGGCCTTTCCCAAATTGGCCCGATTTTTTCGCCTAACCGGCTTTTCGATCGGCTGAGTGAAATGTCACTTCTCTGTGGTTGACGTCACAGTATAAGAATTAGCAGAGAAATAGTGTTCTCTGTCCACCCAGGAACGGGTTTGAGGGAGCACGGTGTGGGATAAAAGGAGGTGACGAATGCAGGGTCGGCCTCTTTTGTCTTTGTGCGGAGAGTTGAGTGAGAGTGCCCACCCCCCCCCCCCCCACCCCAGAAATCATCATGCAATTTCATACATCATCGCTTTGATTATTCTAGTGATTTGATTTTTCTAGAGTGTGCGGATGCATATTGGTCTGGCGTGGTTTTCTGGTTGTACGTAGCTGGAGTTTTTGTTAGACTAGGCAATGGTTCTGTATAGTCATGACCACGGAATTGTGTGCAAAGACAATAAGTTGGGGCGCTGTGCTGTGGTGGCCCCCACTGGCAATGTTCACGTGTTCAATAGTGGTGTACACGTATGAGTGAGTGTGCGGATGTGTGCGCAACGAGTGAGTGCAGGGTGGACAAAGAATGTCCGAATTCGGCCATATTATAGAAGCCCCAAAGTCAGAATTTGGCTCAAAGCAGTACTTGAAGTTACCTATCCCAGTATACACGTACATGTACATGCACGTTATTGAGGCACTGAAACATCAATTTTTGGCGATTTCATCACGAAATTTTGTAAATTTGGTGCAATTATCGGGAATTTCTTGATAGCCATTGATTTCGAGTCCTTTTCTTGCTGACCGATCTCGGAAATGCCTAAAGTCGCAGTCACGTTTCGCAGATAATGGTTACAGAAATTGTATTTGCATGCTATAAAGGCACTAAAAGATCGATTTTCGGCGTATTCAGTCGGAAAATTGCATATCCGGCGAAAAGATCGGTGATTTCTTCAAAGCCACTGTTTTCGGCGAATGTTTCGGCCGGCCGATTTGGGAAATGCCTAGCGAAGGATTCGGGGAGCGTGTTAAAGCGGTGAGCACCAAGGAATGAAAATAAATTTGAATCCAGCTTGAGTGTGCACATCGGGTAAAGAAAGGAAAATATTAGCTTGGCCTCTGGTATGTTTTTATAATAAACATTTAAAAAAAGAGTATTCACTGGTTTGAGGGAAAGACGCAAACAGGAAAAGTCTGGAGAAAAAATTGACTGTCACCACCAGGACTCGAACGAAAAGAGTGCTAGTGTCTGTTGCTGTGTAAGCGAACTCTACTTGTAGACATTGAGACATTTTGAGACATTTTCGGGAGCACGGTACCTATATAGTTGCACTGTTGCTTTCCTGTTGTGTGGCTGAGCTATCTACAACTGGTGTCTGTGATTGATTCTCTAGCTTTGACAATTGCTGGTGTGTCATCATCTCGAGAATCAGTCCCATACTTTTTAATGTTGAGACTAAACCCATGCATTTCACAAAAAAACTTCAGCTAGCGATCCATTGTCGGGCCCAGTTTCTTTGTGACAAAAAAAATGAAGGGATTCACAAGGTGAGAGCTGCAATGTATGTGAGCATGTGTGTGTAGCAGCATGTGTCGTGAGGGTGCCGTGTGTACAGCATCAGCAGGAATACTAATTTAGGTGGTACGTTTTCTGCTGCCCACATGTCAAGTGGGTAGCAGAAAACGTACCACGTAGCAATATGCACAGTGCAGCGAGTGCAAAAGTGGACAGGAAAAATGATATCAATGTAAAACACATTATATAGGTCACATAATCTGTGGAGGGTTCAAGTGTGTGTGTGTGCTAAGCAAAATATGCGTGAGTTTATAAAAGTAGAAAGGAAAAGGACATATGGAAACGAGTTAAGAGTAACTCTCCACCACTGTAACTAGATACTATATACAGTCAGAAAGTGCAACAACTAGGCACAAAACTGACAGAGTACTGAGACATTCGACGTCCTGACACCTAGCTTAAACACATCTCCGTAGCGCTAACCGACAGCCTTCCAACTTGGAAGGTATATAGTCTGTATATAGTATCTAGTTACAGTGGTGGAGAGTTACTCTTAACTCGTTTCCATATGTCCTTTTCCTTTCTACTTTTATTATTGGCTCAATACCCGAGTTTCGAGTTTATAAAATAAAATAAAAAATTCGACGGGTTCGCGTACCGGGTAGGTCAAGAACAAGGAGTCGTACAACTCCCTGGTCAAGAACCACCTTTCCACTTCCGTGGGACGCTACCACCCCATGATCAGGCGTCAGATGCGGCTCGTAAACGGTGGGGGAGGATAGATCAGATCCACCAACCATAGGCCAAAAGCCTAAATCCCATTTGCCACATCCATGTTTTTAGCCTAGTTCATATTCGACGCAACGCCGACGGTACGGGACGTAAGGGCTTGTCGGGAGAGCTGGGGTGAGCTGTAAAATCCTGTACAATTCGTATGACACGACATGCAGCAGTCGTTGCGACGTTCAACGTCGAACGGCGTGAGTCATAAGGCACGGTCCGTGACGGGGTAACTTTCGAACCTAATTTCTCTTTTTTCGGGACTTCTTTTCAACTATTTCTCCTTGAAAGAAGCGGAATCAAGTTCACAGTACCAGTTTTTCATGAAGACCAAAAAATTAGCCCTGAAAGTTGTGGAATTCAAACAATAGCCCCAGGAAATGATAGAATAGTTCGTCTGTCACGCTTCTGAACTATCCCTAAATACAATAAGTGACATGAGTTCTTATGCTGCTAAAATTCAACTCAAGTCGTGCTAGCCATTCTGTGAGTTATCATGGGAAGCGCAGTGTTCGAAATGCTAAAAATTTCCAAGTACGAATCGGGAGTAGTCGGCGTACGACGCCGTCTCCTGTTCACACTCGAATTGCAGCCGTTTTGTATGCTTGCGTCCCCGTCTACGCCCGTGTACGGTATGAAAAGTTGGATCGATCCAACTCTTCCCGTCGCTTCCTGATCTGTACGGTAGTACGGTTTCGTTCCCGTTCCTGGTGTTCACATTGGACGCCGTCAGACCGTCCCGTCGCTTCCCGTCGATCCTTACGTCGCAGCCCGTCGCGCCCCGTCGAATGTGAACTAGGCTTTACTCATGCCAGGCCACGAGTTCCCAATTAACTGTGGGTCGCAGCACGGTTGGAAAGTGTGTGGGTCGCAGCACGGTTGGAAAGAATCCTTCCGCTTCCAAGCAGGACTTGAACCTGGTACCTCTCGTTTCTCAATCATGGTCTTAGACCAACCCACTGTGCCTGCCTGCACGTTTATAAGGTGCACAGAATTAAAACGTGTACCTACAAAGAAGTGACAGATGAATTTGTGGCTCCGAATCTGTTTTCTTTGTTTCTGTGTCTGTCACTCTATCTGTCTGTCTGTCTTTCTGTCTGTCTCTCTGTCTGTCTCTCTGTATGTCTGTCTTCGTGTGTCTCGGTGTGTGTGTGTGTATGTGTGTGCGCGTATGTGTGTGTATGAGTGTGTGTGAGTGTCTGTTTGTCCTATGGGTACCTATTTATTTGAGTGTATGTGTGTGTCTTTTCTTTTTTGCCCAGGTGCAACTTGTGGTGCTGGAACCAACCTGGCTGATGAGTGACATCACCAGCAAACTTTACACACCCACCTATCAACGATCATCGTTCATCACTTGTAATGAGTTTGGCTTTGCGAAGCGCAGCAATGTCGAGCAGGTTCTGGGCAACTGTACCAACTCTCCGGTAAAGTTAACCGGGGATCAGGTGCTTGAGATTGCGCAGCAGCTGGGAATGTGTCATCTAACGGATCACGGCAATGAGGTGATGATACTGCCAGCCCAGGCAGAGAGCCGCACAGCTGCCCACTGGCCAGTTGCCGTGATGGCATTTCTTGCTAGCGACCACATCCGTGCCACGCATCTCTTTCCTCCTGCTGCGAAGGATGTTGGTGCTGATCAACGTCGCAAAGACCCACGCTTGACACACGAGTATGCTGACTCAGCTGATTGCCAGAATGCCAGTAAGTTTGCAATGTTTATCATGGGTGGGTGTGTTTGTGCGTGCGTGCATGTGTGTATGTGTGTGTATGTGTGTGAATGTATGTGTGTGTGTATGTGTGTGTGTATATGTGTGTGTGTATGTGTGTGTATGTGTGTGTCTGTGTATGTGTGTGTGTATGTGTGTGTGTGTATGTGTGTGTATGTGTGTGTATGTGTGTGTATGTGTGTGTATGTGTGTGTGTATGTGTGAGATAGAAGTCAACTTGTGTGTGTGTGTGTGTGTGTGTATGTGTGTGTGTGTGTGTGTGTGTGTGTGTGTGTGTGTGTGTGTGTGTGTGTGTGTGTGTGTGTGTGTGTGTGTGTGTGTGCATGTGTGTGTGTGCCAGCTAGTTCTGTTGGTGGGTACATTTATGCCAGATAGTGTTGGATCTGTTGCCAACAGGCTCGGCTGCTTGACGGTGTAATGTTGTACCTACCACCTTTGTTGGTTTCAGGGTACATGTACTTTCTCTTTGAAGTATACATACCTGCTGACCATGGATTGCTTCTGGCTAGATTAACTCTTGTGTAATCGATGGTGCTAGTGAAGATTATATCAGATCCACTCTGATTCAGCCACCCACACTAGTAGCAAGTATTACCTTCACTGGGGGCAGGGGTAACTGCAGTTGGATCCCAGGACGGATACCTTGATGCCGTCAATCCTTTTTCTGCACCCTTTCCTCACCCACTTACTGACGTGTGGTGAGCCCATAAGTGTGAGCATTTCCCAAGTCCACCCATAGTTTGGGGATTTCAGGGGGTGTCGGCCGTTGGGCGGTTCAATAGCCAATTGAGTCATCTTTCCAAGATTCCTTTTGAGTCTCTCTCCCCTCTCTCGGGGACACCCACATGACCAGTTTTGGCAGTGAGCAACACGTACAAGTGTGTGTGTGTGTGTGTGTGTGTTTGTGTGTACGTGTGGTGTGTGTGGTGTGCGTGGTGTGCGTGGTGTGTGTGTGTGTGTGTGTGTGTGTGTGTGTGTGTGTGTGTGAGGGTGGGTGTGCGTTTGGGTGTGTATACATGCATGCACATGTGTGCATATGCGTGTGTTTAGTATACGTCTATGCACTGTAGTACGTTGTGATACATACCCAAATTCTGTGCTAATCAAGCCATGGACTGACCATAACTTTCTAAACAAACTTATACTGCATGGTGTATATTTTTACTTGCATGTCTGCTTTCTTGTGCTGAAGGTACGATTGAAGAACGTCGTCGAGCCTCTCGTCTTTGCTTTGCTCTCTATCAGCACTGTATCTTGCTTACCCAAGCCTTCCCTCTGGTAGAGTGCTCGCTGAGGCTGAACCAGAGAGGACAGTTGGGGGAAGCCTTCAAGGATGATGTCATGAATGAACATCGCACGAGTGATGCAGCCGACATGTTCCGCCAGGGCATTTGCGACCTACCTGACAGTGTGGTGCTGAGCCTGGTGGACGATGTGCTACCAGAACTACCGGCTGCAAACACTGTCTACAGGGCGGTGAAACACTGTCCTCGGTACTCACAGTGCAAAATACCTCCTCATCATACTCATGCGGCCGGTAAGATATGATATCTATTTCATAAATTTATTACTTTTTCTCGGAATGCCAATATTCGCTTTGTAAAGGAAAATGCTAGTTCCCGTAGACAGAGGCTTGCGACCTGTGTTTTAATATTTACCAAGAGTTTAATCGGACCTTTGCTCGGCATAAAAACATCAAGATCACGATTGACAAGCCTGGGGACTCGGTCCATTGTGCCCAGCTGGTTTGGAGGTGACAGGCATTGTGAATGCCCGAGGGTCCTCGACGTCTGTTGTCACCGTCCAGGAGCGAAACTGACTCATGCTGCTATCTGTTGTTCACGGGGTGTTTGTCGTGCTGCAAACGGAGCGTCTCTGTACGTTTTGTATCCCTGGTGATGTTCGGGCCAGGAGAGCAATACATAAGTGATCAGGTGATGCTCCTCGGGCACAATCTCACTCAGCCTACTCAAGCTCAACTGACTCGTGACATGACGAGGGGTGAGTTCCCCGAAACACTGTGTATAGAGTAGGGAGTAGGGAGCCGTGCTTTCTTGTAGGTTTGCCGAGTCGAAGGTTTGATGGACACTAAAATATAAAGTGCTCATGTTTGGTATCAGAGAGGTTCTGCTTCACAAGAAACGTAGAAAAATCACGTGGAAAGCAGGTGTTTGGGTTAGAGTCTACGGCTTCGCGTGTTTTGGGTCAAGATTTCTACGCTGATGACGTTCTCTACATTGAGGCACACGTGAAGAAAATTCACATGGATCTGCTGGATATCATTCAAATACAGGCAGAAAACTGCCAAATATGGACGGGGAAATTCCTAGTACACATTCAACGTGATTTCTCTCCGTGAACGTAGAGCAGAACAGGTTTTCTTTCAAACCGACCGACCACAAACATCCCAATCCCTTGATAAGACATGCAGAATCCCTGGAATTCTCTCAAAACGCTTGGATGGCATAAAACACGTGAAAAAGTGCTTTTCCCGCCCAAAAAACGTTCAACGGCACATGATTCTGGACTCCGCGTACAGCACAGTTCCACCTTGCATTGCAGTTCGATCAGTCGGCGGGTGCCTAGCGCGCCTGTCGGTGCAGATCATGCAGGCTAGGCTTGTCAGGTATGTGAAGGTACTGTGCAGAGTTCGAACTGCGAGAATGCACCGTGCATACTGGTTTTAATATTATTTGGAAAAACGGGATATTGGAGGCGAGTCGCTGGAGCTTTCAGGAAAAACCTGGGTCAGGCAAAAATGCGACTTTTCCTGGAGTTTGCTTGAAATCCCCGGGACCCCGGGAGTATTGATGTTTCTCCGAGATTTTCCCGCGAAAACCGGGAGGCTTGACCTGTATGTCCTTTACGTTACCGGACCGCGAAGAGAGTTCCAGGAATTCTTCGCGTCGTATTCCCGTAACGTAGGGCATCACTACTGTTTTGCAAGGGCTGTTGTTTGGGCAACATCGTGGCTGATGCTATAAATAGAAGGATTATATATCCATGAGTGAAAAGGCTTTATGCCCACGTGTTTGTTCCTGACATATCAGATGGATAAAAGTAGTATTGTGTGTATGTGTGTCCGTCTGTCGATCTGCTTTCTGTGTGCGTATGTGTTTGTTTTGTATGCTGTATTGTCTATAGATGTTGGGGTGAGTTCTGGCATGCAGTGTTCGGCGTCATCTGGTGAGTTTTGTATGATTTGGTTAAGATCATTCATCACTGACCTCATTGTTCAGCTATCTGTGTTGTAACAAGTACCCTATTCCTAGGACTCCTGGGAACTGTTCCCCCTGCCTTCTGTTGGTATTCTTTAATGCTGTCTCTTTCGCTCACTATTCTCTCTCTCTCTCTCTCTCTCTCTCTCTCTCTCTCTCTCTCTCTCTCTCTCTCTCTCTCTCTTTCTCACCTTCCCCCTCTCTAGCCCTTTCCCAAAGATGCTCGCCACCGTTTTCTCAACTTTTCGTTGTTTTTGAAGAAATTGCAACTTTCGCAACTTTCTTCATTTTCGCGAACTACTTTGCAACTTTTCCGCAACCTTGGCCCCTTGGCATGGGGTCCAAAGGTATGTCGGACAAATGTATACTCGCTCGTTTCATTTCAGAGAAACAGTAGATCAGCAGAAGTTACGATATGTGCATTCTCTTTTCCGTGCACTGGAATGATTGATATAGGATACATGCAACAGGTCACTGGCACTGTGTAAAGTGGTGGTTCACAGTAAGAAGGGTGTAGAGTTTGCTGTCGCTGCACTTCTGCTATCTCTGCTCCATTTCTAGTGGTTTTCCACAAGAACTCTCCAATTTTAAGTTGCAATGTTAGCAACCTTTGAGCTTTTTCTGAAAATATGGATGCGATTTCAGCAACTCACACTTGTTTAGGCATTGTTGCGAAAAGCGTAAGTTGCGAAAAATTATGGCATCTTTGGGAAAGGGCTACCCCTCCCTGTCTATCTGTTTGTCTTTCTGTCTGTCTATCTATCTTTCTATGCATGCATGACTATCTCTATGTGTATACTTCTTTCTCTCTCAATTTCTCTTTCTCTCCGTCCTTCTCTATTAATTTTATTTTTTCCCCCAGTTTGTAAGGGTTGGGTATGCTTAGACACTCTTGTACTCTTGTTGATTAACCCTTTGTGTACGGACTGTACAACTTTCGATCCCCTGGGATCGAAACTTTTCAAGATTTCAATCGATCGTAACTCAGTTATATTCAAAAACTAAGATATGTAGGTCGAGGAGAAAACTCCCAGCTGTCCATTGAAACAATCGCTGAAGCGCGCCGATGTGCGGTTCTGGGAATGTGTGTGTGTGTGTGTGTGTGTGTGTGTGTGTGTGTGTGTGTGTGTGTGTGCATGTGCGTGTGTGTGTGTGTGCGTGTGCGTGTGTGTGTGTGTGTGTGTGTGTGTGTCCATTGTTCTTATCACCTAATGATGGCCAAGTGCCGAAACGTAAAATAACGGAACTTGTTCGGATGTGCAGCGCTCTTGGAATGGGTGTGTCCACTCAAATTCCTTTCCATGTATTATCGGTGTTGTACAATTTCATTTTTTTGTTTCTTGACATGTAGTTGTGTGTAGTTGTGTGTTCATGTGTCATCTGTGCCTTCTGTATTTTGCTGCTTTCGCAACAGGCAATCCGTTTGACCTGGAGAGGTTTGTGTGTGACATTCAACCATGGTTGAACAAAGTTGACGCAGATCTACTGCGACGGATGGTGGTCAAGAAACATCTCATAACTGACAGCACATCAATAGAGAGACTAAAGAGAATTCGGTCCCTGGATGGAGTATCTGATCATAATGAGGAGCTCATCGAGTTGCTCAGAGCTGGTGGCCTAAAGACTTATCGTGATCTCGGTGTTGTCATTGAGGAACTTGGGTATGTGGACAAGAGCAAGGAAATGCTCTCCATTTTGTCCCACACAGGTACGTTGTTGCTATACTTTTACTGCAATGTGTTCAACTTTGGTGGTGTTTAATGGACAGCTGAGAATTTTCTCTTCGACGTACATATTTTAGATTTTGGAAATAACCCAGGAATGATTGAGTTCCGATCGATTGAAATTTTGAAAAGTTTCGATCCCAGGGGATCGAAAGTTGTATAGTCCGTACACAAAGGGTTAAGTGGCCATTGTCCATCTTCACTGCTCATCTATATATTTCAGGTTGTGAACATATTGGCTCTTTGTGACTGCCTCAGGGATCATCGCTGGCCGCAGTATTTTGTTAATGCTTCTTTCTTCTTTGATGTTCTTTGGGATTGCAATGTACCTATTGAAGGATGTCCAATGCAGCAGCATTGTATCTATGACTCTTATTACGTACAGATGCGTTCCTGGACAATCCGTTCAACCACCCGTCCTTCATGCCAGACATTCACGTGTGGCTGCAGAGCATCCCCGCGGATGACATCCGTGAAGCAGCGCAGACGCAAGGTTTGCTCACGGGCCACAACATCGACAAGCTGATACGCACAGATCGGTACCAGAGCAACAGGGAGCATAACTGTGAGCTGCTTGGCATCATCATGGACAAGGAGAGACAAGGTTACATCGCGCTGTGCAGGATGATCCGAGCCATCGGTCAGTATGCGGGACGGCTGGAGCAGATGAACAGCCTACTAGCGGAGTGCGATCGTGTCTGAAGGTGAATGTTTGTTACTTGTAGTGCAGGTACACACATCCATACAAACTCATCCCGTGCTGGTGCTGGTGCTGGTGCTGGTGGTGATTAAAATTCGAAACCCAGGCGCGATGCGTTTTACTATCACATCACATGTCATGCATCAAGGCATGCACAAAAGATGATCAAGCATACGCAATCCCATGGATTGTAGTATTAGCATTCATTTTTTACTAGCGCAGACACCACTGACTTATTGTCAAGTTACAGAGTACCCTAGCTTAGGTGATCAAGTAAGCTGCTAACAACTGTTGCAAAGAATTCCTGCCTGGCGACATTCAGGTGGAAGAGAGTTCCATCTGTCTGCAGCCATGTAGACACACACACACACACACACACACACATACACACATACACACATACACACACATACACATACACATACACACATATGCACACAGACACGCACACACACACACACCCACGCACACACACACGCACACACACACACACACGTCCCCCCCCCCACACCTGGTCCTGGTATACGGTCACGTGTCCTCTCGCGGGGCCGACAACATGGAAACGACGCGCGACGGCAGAAAGTCGGCAGGCTGCCGAGAGATCAGGGACCATGTTCAATCGGCACGACGAGAGAGCCATCTTCGGCAGCTATGGATTTGGAATCCACGAGTAGAGCGGCAGCACCGACCACAGGCCTCACAGTGAGCCTTGCAGCATGAGAGGGCGAGCCGCACACGCGGCGGCAGAGGAGTCGCCTGCACACACACACACTAACACACACAAACAAACACAAGACCATACACTGAATGCAACATTAACATTAAAATGAAAGTGATTTTCTATGCTTCATACCTGGCATATCAAGTAAACTCACACTACCCGCTTGTTTTGAATATCACCAACCTTTTGTTTGAAATTTTACAAGGACAGTGCTGCTCAATGAAATCCGATGAAGTGAGTGAATGCCACTCCGGGCGCCGTGCAGCCTAGACTTGCAAACATTGGGATGTGAACTGGTGCCGGCCGCAAACTTGATTTAAGAGACCGTATTTCATCAAGGGCCTTGAATTCGACTGTGGTATTTCACCATTGTCACCCTTACTGAAATTGGAGCCATGTCCCTTTGGCAGCTCCTGACCATTTTCAGTGTGTCTACCTTGCTATGGCTCGGGCCTATTTAGCTTAGGCACCTTCACACACCAGCGTGATAGTCTTAGCATATTATCATGTATAATTATTGTGATAGACTGAACTTCACTCTTTGATACTCATTTGTTTGCTTCTGACACAGGGACGCACCTTTTCGTCAATTCCGGCTCTAGTCTCAAGACCGTGTTTGCGCCTCAAAGTGGTTACAACACTTGCGCAAGTGATACACAATGTCAATACATTTCTATGTTTTTTTTGCCTCGCCACACATCCTGAATGTTTTGTATAGCAAATTGTCCTTCTGCCCAAGCCAGTGTCATGATTTTCCTGTCACATGTGACTGCCATTTCGTTACAAATGACTGGCAGTTTCCTGCTCAAGTGCTGCTCTTTTATCATTTGCACGGTCGCAACATGAGCGCAATGATGAATGTTCTCCGTGGTACCTGGTACTAAAGCTGCCGCACTCGTTTCTCTTTAAAACACACATCGCATCACTGGTGTGTGTGTGTGTGTGTGTGTGTGTGTGTGTGTGTGTGTGTGTGTATGTGTGTGTGTCTGTGTGTGTGTCTGTGTGTGTGTGTGTGTGTTTGTGTGTGTGTGTGTGTGAGTGTGTGAATGCATCTGTGTGAATGTGTGTTTGTGTTGGAGTTTTTGTGTATATATGCAATGGTGTGCCTATCCATACGGTGAAGCCAAGCAATGTAGATCTGCTTTAAGCTCTTCCGTCTGATGGGTGTTTCCAGTATTGTACGCTTTTCCAATGCTAATGGCTATCCTTGTGTATACTCGTGCATACTTTTTATATGATTGTGTATGCTCGCTAGTTCTCTGCTGCTTCTTGCGCTACATGACCTTGCCCCGTCTTTGCTTCGCCTAGTCATGTCGTTGACGAGTTTTTTAGAAGCATTGCAATCTTTGCCGACTCAAAGTCCTTCATGTTTATCACGGTTTTTTTTGCCGCCTGCTGCCTTTTGTAAATCTGCTCATTTCACCAGCAAAGTCCTGCTTACTGTTAGTTGGTTCTTCCTCCTCCCCTCCTCCCCCCCCCCCCCCCCCCCGCTAGATTTGCTGCCATAGTTATAGAGCTGACGGCGCATTTGCTATGCAAGGAGGCACTCTTTGTGAGTTTGCACGTTGTTGACGCTAGTCTGGGTCAGTTTACTCAGCTCTTCGTTCTTTCCGTATTTCAACACGTCTATTTTGAAGAGTGGTTTCCAAGATCCTGGTACTTACCAGGTCTCTGATCCAACTACTTACTCCGTTGATGTTGGAGGCCATGCATACAGATTTTTTATGTGTCCTTGAAGGCCGGTTGTAGTGGTTAGCAGCGGTTCCCGCATGGGTTCCATGCCAACGCGTAGTTGCCAAGGCTACTACGGACGCTTGTAAGTATTCACAAACTCAATTTGCTACATTGCAGTTTGTGAATACTTATAATGATCCCATTCATCCTTACATTTACTGCACGTGTAGCAGTACAGTCAACTTGGCTTATAACGACACTCGGCGGGGCATCAAAAATGTGTCCTTATTCCCGAGTGTCGTTATACCCGAAGTCTCATTATTATGTATTACAGTGGGATGGGACTTTGCTCTGGGCATGGAAATTCTGTCGCTATTTGCGAATTGACGTTATATCCGCAGTCGTTATTAGCGAAGTTGACAGTAGCAGACATTACATTACATTTACTGTACATGCAGTAGTAACCATGGTAACAGACATTACATTACATTTTCACAAACAGTCAACCAGGGTATCGAGATCTGCTGAAAACGTTGCATGGCCCACCATCTGGGCTACACAGGAAAAGTTTTTTTTTCTTTCTTTTACCCTGAAGGTGAGTCATGCCCGAAATTTAAAAACTCATGCAATTGTGAATCTGAACTGGGGGAATGTACAGTGCTGCCAACTGAAATCCGACCCCCTCAGCGGCGCGCTCACATCGCAAAGACCCAACACGGGATGGTAAAACTACGAAGCAGAGACTGAACCCACCGCTCAGGGGGTCGGATTTCAGTTGCCAGCACTGTATTTGCGGCAGGGAGACCATGCATGCATGTGTGACTTTTCTACTGAGCAAGACTCCATGAGCAAAGACATTATTATTATTATTATTATTATTACTGATGAGTTCAAAAAGAACGAAACAGCATGCTGTCCGCAGATTGAGTATTTCGCTCCTGCTCTTGTAGCAGTTGAGCACTCTTGCGTGGGGTAGTGCCTTTGCTGTTTGCGTTATGCAGAGCTCACTGACTTGTCAGTTTGAGCACTCTGGCAAGGTACGTTCGGGCCTGATTGGAAATTTTTATTTCCATTGCTATCAGGTTCGGCCTCATTTTCTCTGTGCTGCGCTGATGAGTTCAAAAAGAACGAAACAGCATGCTGTCCGCAGATTGAGTATTATTATTATTATTAATCTGATTCTGTACAGCTTAGCTAGGTCTGTTTGAAACAAGAGTACATTGTGACATAACACCAGTGACCTGGGTTTATGCACTCTTGATCGAAACTAAAGAACTGCCAGTAATGGCGCCGGAGGTTGCACAAAGCTAGCCGTGAACGCACTTGGAAGTAGCCCAAATACTTACAAGCTCAAGACGTGGATTGTCACTGCATGGTCATACAGGATGTCACCATACCAGACCAGAGCATGCCAGGGTGGACCATGCATGTACAGTATATAAAAATGGAGGCGTGAAAAGAAAGTAATTAATTTTAGTTACACATAATTATCATGTCTTAATATTATTATGTCTGTGCACCATGGACGGCATGCTGCACAGGACATGACTGTGTGCAATCTGTAGCTTCATCCCGTGTTCACGACTCTCTGACCACTGAGAACACGACTAAATAATTCAGAAGTAGCGACAAACTCAGCCATTTGAAAATAATCTTAACCCGTCCACCTCTCCACACTGTGCTCTTGGCCCACATTCACCACACCACACCATGGCGAGGAAGTTCGTTCTTGGATAGATGTTCCATATCCTCCGGACAGCTGTTTCGCTCATTAAAAGGATTTCTTCAGTGGAGGTAGATAACGAATGAATAGTTGATATGAGTATATTTACAAGGTAAAGCGGCGCACTTTCAACATAGAAAACACAGTGGCATACCCAAAGAAATTTGAAGGTGACAAAAGTTCTAAAGGTGATAAAACTAGGGCTGAGTCGGGTAGCATTTTCTTCGGGTATCGGGTCCGGGTAGTTTTGCACGGGTAGCACGGGTACCCGATCGGGTAATGTTTCCATGGTAAGACCACAAGGCACACCGGCCCCTTCCCTTTCGCACTGGGTAGACATGCGCTATGCGTGAATTATTTGTACACGTGCATTGTACATGATGTCATCTGCGACTTCGGGTTTTCGGGTACTATTCGGTACCCGTCTACCCGAGGTCCTCACGGGTAGACGGGTACCCGACTACCCGTGCACACAACTAGATAAAACTATTACTGTATTTATAATAGTGCTCTGCGGGCACAAACATCACCAGGGATACAGACTTACACTTGCAGAGTAGGCTATTGCAGAGGCGATGCGTTTCCAGTGCGACAAACACTTCGTGAACACAAGATAGCAGCGTGAGTCAGGGGCTCAGGGCGCGTTCGAATTGTCACTCTTTGACTTTTCGAGGAGTTCCGTTTTTCTGAAGAGGTGGCCTCTTCAGAAAAATGGAGCTCCTCGAAACTCCTCGAAATTCCACAACCTCATCCGATGGGAGAGGTGGATTAGTTTCGAAGAGTTTGGAATCGGTACGTTACGTAGTACGTGGATATATGGTCGATCTGATCGGACGTCATCATCGCCCTGACAATTCCACTGAAAAACCCTAAAATGATAGAAACCGTTCTAATGGGACACTTCAACTAATCTCTTTATATACGGTGCTTGTATACATGTATGTACTGTACACATATATGTTGGATTCAGTAGAGCGTCCAGCCCCTATATGATGTCCAACCCCTATATAGAGTCCATTGGTCCAAAATCCACTGTACAGAGTCCAGACTTGGAATCAACTGTGAGCTCAAAGTTTAGATGGACATCACTCCCTGTATAGAGTCCAGCCAATTGGCTTCACCCCTATATAGAGTCCATTGGTCCAAAATCAACTGTACGGAGTCCAAACTTTGAAATCAACTTTAAAGAGTCTTTATGTGGACAACACTCCCTGTATATAGTCCAGCCAATTAGGCATCCCCTATCGAGTTCGAAATTAGACATAGGATCTGCTGTAAGCAGTGAATATTAACCAGAAAACGGCCTCTCCCTTTAATCCTTTACATCATTCACTTCTCAAGATAAAAAATAAGTATTGAGGCGCCACTGCAGCCACTTCATTACATGAAAAACCCTACAAACACCATCCTCAAATCAAGTGGTCTCTTCGAAGACGCTGCAAATTACAATATCTCAATCAAGTAGTGTTGCCGAATTATTGTGCACGCACACACACAACGCCAAGAAAATACCTAGAAAAAAAAACAAGAATCGAAAGAGAATAATGGAGAGCCCAGGATTAATTATTTGTTTTCAAATTATTGTGTGCTCGCACACACACACACACACACACACACACACACACACACACACACACACACACACATACACACACACACAAACTTATACAACGCCAAGAAAACACCAAGAAAAGAGTAGAGACACAATACACACGCAAGTCCAACAGCCATGCAAACGTCCACCCATTTACACGTAAAGTCAAGAGGGATAACAAATAATTATACGAAACGAATGCATACGGGGACGGGTACACACACGTTTACATACACGTAGTAGTGTAAGAGAGTAACATAGTGCAGTGGTCAGCATAATACTAGCACATGCTGAGAGTGCAATAGCAAGCTTCACCATTGCTCATGGCCATGCAAATGTTCAGCAGTACTCAGTTCCCCAAGCTTCAGCACACCTGCAACAAATAGATAGCACAAGGATACGCTTATTACCGTAATGATGCATGGGAGCACACAACTACCAAGTTCTCAAGGAATGTGATGCTCAATGAAAATCCATCCACTCAAAGACCTGTGAACAGGTGACGGTGGGGACAATAATCTATTAGTAATACGAGGAATAAGATCGTTTGTGCACACTCAAGACGCACAGGCACGCCAACATACATGTAGTGTACACAGTGTTTCACTTCACTGCAACTAAATTGAAATGAAATGATTTGAACAATCTGTACAGCGTTGCCGTCAGTCAGTCTTCCCCCAAGATGGAAATGCAATGATTTGTTGTCACGAGGCAGTTTCACTGACACAATGTCATGTTCCTGACATCAAAACGGTTACTTCAGGGAATACGAGTATTAGCTTGAGAAGCTTTTTCTTGTCATTGGCATACAAGCAATCCTCCTCCTCCTACTAGTACACTGGCACTGCGTTTGTGGATCCCATTGTATTTGACATCATACTAGAGGAAGAGTGTCGTGGAGTTCACATAATTATCACAGGGATAAAAATACATTTCTCATGAAATAAAATAATAATTGATCATAGCTAGACGATCGTATACGATTGATGCAAAGTCCTTGCACAGTTGCAGTCCTTGAGGACTATTACGAAGTGGTTGATTACTTTTAGGGCATTCATTCAAGCAACATCAAACAAACGCGATACGCTCCTTGAAAATGGAAAAAAATTCAAGCATAACGACAGAACAGCAGACCAATCGAAACCAGTAAAAGCTTCCTTACCTCAGTCATCGTCCTGCCATGTAGTTGGACAGCCTTTTGACACGGTGGTACAGGCAGCTCTTGTCCAGTCAAACAGGGGTATCCTTGTGGCGACGAACGAAAGAGAGTGTCAGTGTATCTGACTCGTCAGATTGGAAGTGTGCTGAACTTTTCTCTTTCTCCGCTCTCTGCTTTCATCCCTCGCTCTGATGAAACCGTTCAAACGTCTTACTGGCAGCAGTGGCCAGCCAAACAGGGGATCCTTGTGGCGTCGTCGAACGAAAGAGAGTGTCCCTGACTCGTCAGATTTGAACTGTGCTGAACTTTTCTCGTTCTGCAATTTCTGCTTTCATCCCGCGCACTGATGAAACGTCTTCAGAGAATCACAAGACGCTTTCCAGATTTGATTTTGAACGTCTCCTTATCCTCCTTGGTTACCTCGAGACAGATTACTGTCAGCAACTGCACAGCAGAACTAGCAGCCATGGCTGAAGTGAAGAAAGGAATGCGCTGCCACGAGGCAAGCAAAACTGAAAATGTGTTTGTTCTCTT